AATTAGTAATGGTTGCTGTAAGCTTTCTTCGAGGAGCTAGTGCTGATTGCGAGAAACGATTGCGGTTGATTACTAACGTATTGCGTACATATTGTATTATACAATGAGGTTTACAAGATGGATGAAATGATGCGTATTGTCAGAAAATAAAAGATCAGAATGATGGCGGTGCTTCCTGTCAGTTCCCGTGTTCTGTACAGCGAGCATAGGGTGTCGTAAGACTCGTAACATCATAGTCACCATATCCGCCTGGGTGAACCCGGCCATGTTTAAGGCACGGCCGTTCTCACGGTCCACAATCGTGTGGTGACCTATAAACTTTGCTATTTGAACGCTACGTCTGATAATGAATCTTGCGAATAATGTTAGGATCACAACCGACCTAAACACAACCTGAAATAAATGTGCAGAATAGAACGAACGTTGGGCGAAAGAGTTGCTGAGGTTAATACGTAGCCTTCTGCACTTCGTGTCGAAATTTTCTGGACAGTGTCTGATTTCCCGTTGTGTTCGTATTGACATAATCGTTGATAAATTATCGACTATTTCTAAACGATACTCTTTCTATTTTCAGTGTTATGAAGTTTTTTTTCTAACTGTATCGATTATTCCGAACATCCGGTCATTTTATGTCCATTAACGCATAGACTGAATATTTTGATTGCATTTCTGGATTACTGGGACAGATGATGGCTATTTTTCAAATGACGCACTCATTCAGGTTGACAGTAAGATTAAAATTGTGACTATTCTTAGGTCGCAGCGGCTGCTGCGCAGAAGTTACGGATGGGTCTGAGAATAGCTGGGGCCTCTTGGTGATTTATTTTCGATGAGGGAATCAGGTCGTGGATGCGTTAGCAGATAATTATTTGACGATTTGGCCAAGAACTGCATCTGAGAGTCGTATCGTTAAAAGCATATGAGCCACTTACGGTGTCCGTATGTGTACAAGTGTGAGTGCGTGTGTGCAGTGTCGCGATGGATAACCGATTCAGTTTCTGTATATGTTGTCTACATATGTATAACGGTGAAGTTTTTCAGTTAGTTAGAGCTCTCGGCATTAACTATCGGTGGCCCACACGACGGTTAAATGTGGATCTCTCTGTGCTGTGAAGTACTTACGGCGACGACGGCGCTCGGGTTATACAAAATGCTGATGATAGCGACCGCATTGCGTGTTACTAGCAACGAGACATGAAACTGTCTGGTGTGTCGTCCGTGCCGGATGCTGATAGTGATACTGCACGGATGATGCCGGATCTGTGAATTTATCTCTCTGCACACATACGCAGTGAAATGCTGCTGCGATGTGTTTCCGCTCGTTTCGTGTACAGCCGCCGTCATTGCTTTGCGATTTGTACACCGTTATAAGTTGATTGCGCTGTGAATCGCGCAAGGACAGGGTGCAGTCGCGAGAGTGGCTACAATATTTAATACGGCTCGTTTCGTAAATATGAGCGAAGTGGTACGGCAAGTGAATGCTGCTAGCCAGACGATTTGACTTGTTAACTTATTGCATGAGTATCCGATTCTCAAATCTGCACTTGGGTGTTGTACGGTGATGTATACTGAGCTAGGAACTTGATGTAATTCAAGTTTTCTCCTCCCTGATGGTATGCATGTAGCACTCGCTGGCGCGTTGCTGTATACAGTGTCTAGTCTGCATGATATGAATGTCATATGCTGTGAGCCTGATCGAGCAATGTCTGCTGCAGGCCACTCACTCGATCGCGTTCCATATTTGTTGCGGTGCTGGGTGTCGATGTGTATAACGTGTGTGTGTTGTACGTAGCAAAATTTTTGCTCTGTAGTTTATCGTACCATTTTCCTCCATCAGACGAGACTGCGGAAATTACATACGGTTTTTTCTAGGTAGCGAAGATATATCCTTGTCTCTGCGACGAAGATATCACATCCGTGGTGATCATGATGCGTTTAGCCCGAAATCGGCGCGCGCTTTATTTGCGGGATTCCGTTGCGATTCTCACTTGGACGGATGTTTATAGGAATAACAAGACATGCTGTGGCTGGCTGGTCGTCGTCTGTGCTCTGATGCAAAACTGGTTTTCATAGTGGTCTGACAGAAAGAAATAATTGTTTCTGAGATCATTGTGAAAGCTGATTTTGATCGAGCATAATTATCATAATGGTCAAGTGAGTTGTTGGAGTATTGATCTGGAGAAGCGGTCAGGACAGGAGGAGGAAAGTGGAGATGCCTTGTTGATCGTCCATTGCATCGGTGGCATTATTGTCAGAGAGGATCCGGTTGGCTGGTTAACTTTTGCCTGCCGCGCTGCATTAAGTCGGCGCGGCACAACAGTAGCGGCTACAGCAGGAGGGCGTTTAGCCTGTGAACGTTCAGTTGACGGAAGTCGTCGTCGGATGAGCGACCGGTGTGGTGCGTTGTCGTCCGATGGTAGCCTGAATGCTGTAGGAGGTCAACAGATTATCGATTTGGATCGAAGTAAGTGCACGTTATTGTCTGCAGTAGGTGGTTTTCACGATGTCGATGGGTGACTTGCAGTTGGCCGCAGTTGTTCAGGTCAAACCGTGTGCTGGGTATGCTGGCAATGGCATCCAGTATGATTATGGTCTGTTGTGTCTAGCAAAAAAAAGCCACCAAATACCGGTATGGCGCTCACACGGGGTTTCGATAATCCGGCATTGCCGTAAAAATGCAAATGATACATCGACGCCAGACCTTGCTTAAATGTTGATGTTTGTTTAACACTCCTCATTGGCAGGAGTGTGTAATGGTCCTGCCAATGCGAATTCGGTGCAAGAAAATTGTGATTTTTTAAGATAACTGTAGGCTCAGTGTCACTCAAGCAATGGACTAACCCTGTGTTCCATGTACGCGTGTAATCTTAATAGTTAATATACTATGCATAATGGCTATCATAATGCCCATAAAATATTAGTAAATCGTTATGAATTTTACTACCGGCTTCTTGGGGTTACGTATTTTTCGAGATAATGATGGTTAGAAACCGGCAAGTTAACCAATTAGCACGGTTCCATTCTGATGATGGTGGGTTTTAGGCGCGCGTTATCGGACGGAAAGGCTACTTCGCCAGGCCTAGTATATTCCTGAAATGGGCTTTCCGCCATCGTGTATGTGCTTAGTACGGCACTAACGATAAATGTGTGGTAGTGACTGTGTATATAATAATCACATCTACGGCACTGTCTGGTGTGGTACGTATGGAAAATTTATTTAGAGCTTCGAAAAGTAAATGCTGATGCAGCACATTAAACTTTGAACTACTATGTCCTCCGACATAGAGCGGGAACATTTTACAGACAAACGATTCTCGGGGTCGTGACCTCGTCGGATGGCGTCTGTGACTACTGCTCCATTTTCCTCCGTCTTTTTACTACATACATATATGAAATTTTAATAGTGGGTGAATACTTAACTTACGTGTATAAAAATAATACGATTTTCCTTATGCATACTTACTATTGCCCACCGTGAAATTTCAACAATTGTTGCCGATGGTGAAATGATAAGTAGTAGCTTGATATCCCAATAATTTGATATGGTAGTAGTAAGTATACGTACAATATTTTTACTTGTTAATTTAAGGCTTCCAAGGGTATCAGTAAACCAATCGCTAAATTTTCATATAGCGAGATTTGAATATCACGAATAACCTAATGCTGTTTTTATCATGGATGTTTTACAGTGTTATTGATTTTAAAAATTAGTGTATGCAGTGTGCGCGGCAAACGGTGGATTGTAATACAGACTCAGCAAATAATATACTATGTACTTTTGTGATAATGAAATTTTAACAAGCATATTTTTAATTTCTTTTCTTTCCCTCAATTCAATAACTAGTTTTCGATAAAGAAATTGTTAACGTAACCTAGTCTTACTGCACTCTACTCGTAGTTATCGTACTAAATAATGTCATAAAACAACTGTATTCGCAATTTATTGGACCGTCTTGACTTTCATATTGTAGCAAGTTGCCATTATTGTTATCACAAATTTAGAATGCGGACTCAATACTATTGGCGAAACCAAGATTCTAAACAAATTTTAATGAAAAATAGCTTGGTTTCGAAAACGTTTTTCTTCAGTTTTGCGTGCTTAACTCGATGTTCAAACTGACAGCTTAGTCTGCCCAGATACCGTATAATATTTCCTTCGTGACTTCATATAAATCTAGCAAAATATACGAATGAATGAGTATCATTCAAAATGTTTGCAAAAGTTCGAATAGTTGCGGCAGTATGTGGCCGCATTTCTCGCCTGTCTATTTCGAAATAAGATCTTTGACCATCTAAAAATTCAGTAATCACTCGCTCAAGGCGAATGATTCTAGCATCCACGGAACGCGCGCAGCCGACAACCAATCAGTTTTTGACAGTGTATAGATCCAAATACACCCAATAGGCAGGCATATACCGAAGATGATTTAATACCGATCGTCAGTTATTACTGGTTGTAATTAATGAAGCAATGATTTGCGATATCAACCAGTCGGCGACGCGCAATAAACTCGTTCATCTTTTTACTCTCCTTACTAAAAATATTTGCTTACCGAAACACTGGACTCTGAATATTTTGGCACGTATTAATGGTGCTAATGGTACGAATATTTTTGCACCACATTTTGTAGTAGTCCAGCGGTAATTTGTGCAAACCATTCATTATGTTTTGCTCTCTTACGCAAAGTGCGCATCCTTCCCGTCCGAACACATTTTTACCGGAATTTTACTTCGCTATCATCACTCTTATTTTCCCGGGTATCTATATACAGTATACGTGTCAAAGACGATTTTTTAACCATTAAATTCATATGCAGTCTATTTGTGCTCTTAATATCGTGCAAACAGTTTCCGTTTCAAAACTTGGGTTACAGATATGTATATGGAGGTACAATACATATACGCTTTGTAACGTGTACGGCACAGTCGCACAGACTATTTAAAAAAAAAAACAACGGAAAGTAGTCCTCAGATGAAATGCATGTAAGCGACTTATTATGGTAAACGCTAGTGGACAGGGCGGAAACTTAATTTATTAACAGTTTCAACACAGACACGAATTATTATTATTAATAAAAATTACATGCTATCATTATGGCATATTCTGTAGAAACACAGTCAGAAGCGTAATCATTGCCAGAAGCCAGAAGGAAACATCATCCTAAGGATTTCTAGCCATTTCACCGTTTAAAACTGACGGCGTACTGAGGTCAACATCCCCCACCAGAAAATCACGAAATGACCATCGTGAAAAACTTAATTAGGCTATTTAATGGAGAATTTGTCCACTATGCCACCGAATCGGAAATTTAACGATCGCGATTGGTGTGCTACATAAACCGCGCAAGACATCGCAGTGTATTTGCGAGGTGTAACCATAAAACGGATCCTCTTGAAACAGCAGCGCTATGCAGTGCGTAAAGCCCAAACGACGCACGCAGTTGCTTGCTCATCTTCCAATATTCGTCTGCAGTATCTTTCTTTTACTGCTCGCGTGCTCGTTTGGCTGCGGAAGTTTGCCCATTCATAGTGTCTCTCCTATGCTGACCATTTCTGTCATCACGATGACCACCACGATTTTGAGATCGTTGTTCTGGAACAGCGTTCGAAGTCTCCGGCCTTCTCGCGTGGGAAACGTTGTCATCTTCTTTTTGGAAAGCAAAAGCCACATACATTGACGCTACTTCCCATTCGGACCGGCTGAGACAACCCTATAACACCGGACTCTGTGAACCAGCAAAATTTAACCGTTACCAAATCTTATTTCCTTTAAAACGATGGCGCTATTTGTTACACTGCTCAGTGACGCTGTATGCAAATTTTAGAAAACTGCGTACTATTAATGCTTTCTGCCAGTTACCTGTTACCATCAGTGCTCGTGTCAAATGGAACACGTACTTACATAAGAAGGCAGGAAGCAAAGACAAGCAGGTCAAATTTCAGAACAGCATCTGCACCTTTACGCAATCTTATTGTTAGTAATGGCGTATTTAATTCTACGGGAATCCAGAAAGGAATGCAGCCAAATTTTAATGAAACTTCAGAACGATTTACGTCTGCAGAGTGTCAAAGAACAGCGAAGTTAAATAACGTATACAATGATACTGTACTAGCTACGGTACGAGTACTACGTAATACTGTGTACAGTGTTATTACCAGAAAGATGATATTATTATTAAAGGTGGGACGCAAAGGCACTAACCGTACTTTAAAATAATACATACTTTAGATACGCACACTTATCACCTTAACATGTTATTTCTTTGTGAAGGCGGAAGTAAAAAAATTTAAGCGAATTTTTATCCAATGATTTATTTATTTTTTTCTATCTCTGATTCGCAGTTGCGGTAGATGAAATTTTTCTTTTCGGTTAATGTGGTTAATGTTGTGGATTTCTTCTTGCAGAATACATGCATTACGTACAACTTGTTTCGCTCGTTGACTGGCCAGGACTTCCTGTGCTTCTTCGTACTCGCCTTCGTCAACAGACGCAACCAGGTGATCCGACGGATACGTCTGCAAGCAGCAAAATCAGAAATTACTAATAAATGTAACAACAAAAAGATCAACCGAGATTTAATTATCAACATTACAACGATTTTATAATATCCTATTCATAACTCACCAGAACACATTTTTCGGGTCAAAATTTAAATTCTGTAAAAAGGTGCTATGCCACCGCAAACGCGTACAGTTGCATATGCGTTTTGACAACAAAAACGGTCTAATTCTAGTACGAGTATTACACTGTACCAGCATGCGGTTCCATGGTTTATTTCATTTTCTGTTTCGCTACGCTTATCAACCGTTACTGCAGATGCAATAACTCTGTCAATAAATTACAGTTGTGCTCTACCTTACAACAAAAGAAGATATCTGTATTTTGATCCAAAAACTATGCTCTCGTTTAGCTCAATATTTACCTCCAACGCATCCATGCGCTCCAGCAGTCTTTCGTAAAAAGGCACCGCCGCAAATTCCTCAAAGAATTTGGAAAATGTATAGCAGTACAGCAGTTTCATCCCGATTTTCTTGGCCATGTCTACCAGTAAGGGGAAGTTAACCAAAAACTCCGGGCAATCAACATGACCATCCAAAAAGAAATGGTACCGGGCCCCGAAAAGCGGCTGGCGTTCTTTGGAATCAAAAGTCACGGAGAAAATTTCGTTACCGAAACCATTCACTTCCGACTGTTGCAGCCGCTTCCTAAAACAGAATTACTGCTGCATAAAACGAAGCACATCTCACAACTATTCCACCAAAAAAGAGTTCCATTTTAATTTACGATCAAGCAATCTGCATATAAGCATCTGTAACTCGTAAGAATAAAGCACAAATACAACAAAGCTGCAATCAATGGGGGAAAAGCTTTAGGAACATAATCCAGATCTTAAAATGATTACAGAGCGAATCAAACAGTAATACCAGTATACAGTACTGTTCGAACAGTAATGAACACTTTTAACTGGCAATTCACTATGATATATCACTATGATATCATCCAAACAGTCCAGCTCTACATTATCTGCACAGTTTATCACTTGAGCCGAACATAAAGAAACGACTCTGTACATTGGCGTACCAAAGAAACAACGTAAGATACTAATATTGAGAAAAATAAAGAAATCATAATTCCTATTAGAAGTTTCACCAGAGCCATATATTATGATACAAGCAGCTGTTTGGTATTACGGTCCGATGGCAAGATTGGCAACTTACATGATTTCGTACGAATCCGGAATTGTTCCAATGTAGATGCCGCCTGGACGCAGTCGCTCGCAGGCATTCCGCAGCATCCTCTCGGCCCGCTCATGCGTCTCGAAGGAGTAATGGAAGGAAAACTGGCAACTGACCAGGTCGAACATCTGATCAGGCCGATTGTAGTGCTCCCATAACTTGGCCTGCGCACAGTCGGCCACAACGAACTCGGCGTCGAACTTCCAGCGATTCCGCGGATTACGATGCATTTCTTCGTAGCGTTCACGGCACTGGTCGACGGATGTGCCAGCCATGTCGGCGCAGACCAGGTAGTTAATCCGGCCGATCTGCCACTTCTTCAGATCACCCCCTTTGCCGCAGCACAGATCCAGCACCGCGATGCGCCGTCGGTCGTTTCCGCGGCGCAGCAAGTTCAGCGACTCGTTTATGCAGACGCTCTTCACCCAGTTGTTGAAGCTGCGCAGATGATAGATTCGGCTTTGTTTCCGCTCTTCCAGCCCGCGCTGCTCCAGCCTGTTGTAGTGCGCCTCCACAGTGGATTTCAATCCTGACGTCGACATGGTAGAAAAACCTGCACGAACAATCAGATCATTAGCTGCGGCGGCAGGTATGACACATCCAACCCAAATGCTTAAAATACTACCGTTTCGGTACGGACCTATTAAAAATAAGATCAATCGGATTCTATCCAGATAACAACTCTGATTGTTGGAGTAACCAGGGAACTTTTGAGGAAACTGAGGGCGAAAGAATTCACACAATTTGCTGTTTACAACGTTAAGTGTTGATATTAATTTCCTGAAATGTGACAATTCAAACCGTAAAATCCCAACACATAATAATTATTATTAAACTTCGTGCTTACAATCTGCTAAACGCTCATCTCGTAATCAACAAAAACTGAAAACTCTCGGAGGTTTACACGAGTACATGTGCAATGTGCATGCATACAGTATGCAGCATACTGTAATTATTTTCAAGATCTGGAGCTGGACGGCGTCACGGCAGTGGACGCTTTGCATAGCTGGATGTACGCCGAAGCTACCGCCTGGAGTAGTCGAGTTACTTAAGGTGTTTTTCCGCATTTCCTCGTTTAGGTCAACAAAAACTAAGAACCAAAACCCTATCTAGTGTTCTTGGACAAACACAGTCGTATTTAAAGATTGCTTTATTCGCTAGTTTTTTTCTAAATGCAGCCTAAGACTCTACGAGCACAGGGGAAACTTATTTCTCAAAATAAGAGACTGATATGTGGCTATGTGCTGTTCTTGTAGGTTAGTATGTTCCGCAAGGAAGAACGGAAGCCGGAGCGATATGCAACTGCGAGTTCATCAGACCTTCCATTGCTTTTGAAAATATGTAACAGAAACACGCTTTACCATCCAGTGGATGGTAAAGCGTGTTCCTGTTATTTATTTTTAAAAAGATGGATGGATGTGTAGATAGCGGGGTGGATGGCATCCACACTTCTATGTTTCAGGATAACCCATATTTGCCAGTGCCTCGCAATTTTTGCTCGATCGATCGGCACTTCCATTTTTATACGTAATAGACTTGTATCTGTATAAATCCAGGTAGCATTTCTTAATTTTTATTTATTAACAAAATACGATTAGTTCACGATTATCTTTTTTTATTTCTCAACATTAACACAATACTTTTCTTCACACAGTTTGGATCAATCCAAAAATAAATCGGCATCAGCTGGCATATTCAACGCGCTACATAATAACCGTGAAAGATCTTCCACAAGCGCAACATCTAATGAAGAATTAGATTTCTTTTTTAATTTAGAAACAAATGATGACAACTTCGGTAATTGCGGATGGTGGGGCTCTTTGCCAAACCCAGTTAACTGCATATAGTGGCACAGCAATCTGACGACAGCGGAAACATTTTCCCATCCGAAATGGCTATCCGCTGTACCCATGTCCAGTGTGTTCAGAAGAAGCAGACGAAGAACAAATATCAAGATCACTTCCAGAATTTTGACATGCTTCACAAAATCTTCTCCAATTTTGAGCAGTGGATGAAGTAACAGCAAGCCGTGCGACCGGAAGTAGGCACGATTGACTGGTCTTGCAAACAACGTGTCTCCCATGCAATTTGCGGCGCAGTGCAACAAACTTATTAACGGCTCCTCGTCTCCGCTCAGGGCGTGTGTTAACCAAGAAAATAAACCGAACTGTTTAATCAATGCCCGTCCTACGTACGGTACCGCGGAAACGGCTTCCAACACTTCAGCCACCTGCTGGTTTTGCGCTTTATTCGATAGCGGCGATCCGTACATTGCCAAGACAGCTTCGAACACATGGGAATGGCGACAGATCTCGAAATCACGGTACTGTCGCACTCCGTGTTTAATTATATCCAAAACAAATTTCCGGTCTTTCATATGGCTGAGCTCACTGCTTTCAAATAACTTCAGAAACTCCGGCACGCTTTCCAAGTTGAAATCAGGCTTAACCAGGAAAAACTCCATGATCATCTGACGATTATGATTCTGATCCTCAAAGAAACTAACAAAAAATCGAGTCAAGAGGACGGTCCACAGATGTGGCCACGGTTTTCCACTTCGACTCGCACGCCGTATTTGCGACAGAACACACAACAGCTGCTCTTTCAATCTGAAACCGAGTTCCTGAACTTGTTCTTCTAATCTGCACAAACAAAAGCCAGCCGCATCTCGCATGGCCTGGTCCAAGCTACCTAAAGCCGCGACCACCACACCCAAACAACCGGATTCGACAAAATGAATAATGTTGAATTTCGGTCTGGGCAACAGCATCCCAAAATTGGTAAGTAGGTATCGGGGATCGTAGATCCGGGAATCTATAACAGGCGCCGTGGTGCTACCAAGGCACAGTTGAATGGGGAAATGTAACGCCGTTAAAACGAGCATGCTACGATCGAGGTTGTCAACAAATTCTCGCAGGGTCGTATGGGGTAATGCAACTCCTTGCCCCATACGTACCTGCTGTTGCCGCTGCGCCAGTTTGCCAAATAACGCGAATACTTCCTTATTAGCAACATCTGCTGATGCCTCAGCTATAGTCAGAGCTTTGTAGATATTCTGGTCGGACAGGGACAGCGTCGCTCCATAGGCATTCAATAGAAGATCCAGAAATGGCCCACGTACGCCTTGCCGATTCGTGTAAGATATTTCTAATAGAAATTCCGTCAATTCATTGCGCAAGACGGTAGCGGCCAGATGCGCTGCCATCCGTTCCTTTTGCTTTTGGATTGCTGGGTCATTAATGTCAACGGCAACTTCCTTCACCTGGGATCTAACGGAACTCTCCGCAATCATTAACAGCTGCTGCATATCTTGTTTTATCGCTGCTCTGTTTTCAACCGGTTCTGGATGATTCGGCACCGACGTGTCCAGGATTATCGCGTACAGTTCCAGAAATCGAGACAAGTTCTGCCCCAAGACCTTGGCGTCTGATAAGTAAGCGGTAACAATCTGATCATCCACAAATTTATCCGGTAAAAGCTTTAAAAATTCGGATTTGTCTTTAGCTGGCAGAATAAGCATGATCTTGTATGCCCGAACCAAGGCTTTTTCTAAAAAACTGGTAAAGGCTTCGGAGACACTGGAATGCACTGTGGACGCAAAAACTTCTCGCTGAAAATCCTTATCCATCCATGGCGGCAAAACCAACATCATGGACGGTTGAACGACCGATTTCGCTGGAATACTTCCAAGTCGCGATACAACATCGAAACCGTCGTATACCTCGCTCAACCAGTTTATCATCAGGAACCAGTTGTCGGAATTGCGAGGCATAAATGCCGGTTTCCAGCTGACCAGCAAGTGAACGACCTGATCCGGGGCAGCAAGCAGCACCGCTCGCATTAGGCTGCGATGATACACCGAAGTGGGCACCAGCGTGCGCATAACTTCCGTCAGAATGTGGTTGGCATTTTTCGATGAATTTCCCAAAAGTGGATCCTGCAGATGAAAATATTTCCACTAATTCATATTCAACCGATCAAATTAAGACGACGTTTGACAAACTAGTTGAAAAGTTGGCTCTGGTTATAAATTCCCTCAAGGAATTTGGTACAGTACTGTGTTAGGCTGTTAGCAAATCAGAGATAAATATTCAAATTTCTATCTATGAGTTACAATTTCATATTAATTTTAATGGGGCATATTTGATATTATTATGCTGTGATATTGCTATATTATTTCAGAGGACTTGAGTGTTACCAAGTACAAAAGCAGTCACAAATTACAATCCGTTTCGTTGCCATAATTACCTGGAAAACGATGCCAAATTTTGTTGAGGTACAGACAACAAGCAAGAACTGCATCATAGCATCTCGAACACTGTCTCGAGCATCCACCGTCGAAGCCGGCACGACTTCGTTCTCGTTAAACTCTTTCTCACTTTTTCGATGGCCATTCCATGCCAGCACTTTCAACAGCTGTCGCAGTGTCGTCTGATTGAATAACTGGATTTTCATCGTCTTAGATATGGATGAATTCTTCACAACCTTGTCCAGCAAAGTGGAGAGCAAAAGTTGTACAATTTCCGGTCGATCAACAATCATCCCGGGAAAGACTGCTGCAATCACGTTTTTCGCTTGCGCCAGGTGGCGAATGGCGAAGTTATCGCCAAACATCATTATGGCCACTAAGAGATGCACCGTTAGCGCTCGAACATCCTGCGGATCAACCGTATTTCTCCGTGACACCAACGCCGAAAAACTGCAGGCTGAAAAACTGAAATGCGTCGCCAGAAGCTTCACGGTGCGGTTTCCTAATGTGCACACTAAAACGACAAAATACGATATATAGAGACAAAACAAAAAATTGCCCACAAGGCTATACTTACAACTAATGAGCAATTTTAAAGCGGACTTGATTTGGTTGGACTTGTTCGTGGTTTTGAGCATGTAGTAAAACGTTCTGACGTGCTTAGTCAGCAACTGCTCCGCCATCTCCAGAGCGAAGCTTTCCAGGGCATCCAGCTCTGATACAATGGTCAGGACGATGCGCTCCAGAATTGTAAATATCAGGGCAATGTCGGGAGCCTTCAGTTTCGTCGCTGCTGCAAGCAACGACGTTACTTCCGTTCCTGAGGTTCGCCGGCAGAGAACTCCGACCAAATCCTTGCCATCTTTCTCCAGGGCTTCGCTAAACAGCTGAAGGGATGAAAACGGTGTGCCAGGCGTTCGTATAGCTTCTAGGAAGTCAATGACGAGCTTTTCAGATGGACGCGAAAACTGGGTAGGAAACTTCGAGACCGATGGAGCAGATTGTCGAGATCTTTGTTGTTGCCCGTGCAGGCCGTGCTGGTAATGGATAGCACCCGTGCCGCTACGCGAGCTCCCATGGCGCATTTGTTGGTGGGTTCGCTTTTTCGAATGCATGAAGGGAAAAGAATTCTAAACAAAAAAAGGCAAAAACTATTCAAGCCATTTCTATTCAAAGTTTCAAAAAATTATTTGAAAATCTCGAAATATTTCGTACTAGGTAAGTCGTAAGTATGAACAAAAATGCTGAAAAGTTATGTGAACTCTATTGCTGACCTAATCAATTCCCTGTATGCTGTACATGAAGCATTGGTAACCCAGTTCTGCAAGCAACCATTCTCACAGGTTCAAAGCAGTCCAGAAAATGGCATTTGTCCAGACTTCAGAAATTTTCCGTCAGGCCTGCACACTGTTGCAGGACCTATACACTATAATAAAAACAGAAAGTGAGACTTTCTGTATAAGAGTGTATACGGCTTGTTTCTTGCACGGTCTATGGGGAAATCTGTAACCAAAATGTTACACCCCTGTGATTGGCACAAGTTAGGGGTGTGGTTTACGGTATGCCAGTTAATACGGGCATACTGCATAGTCAGCATAGCTGTCGCTAGAATGTGGTTGGGCTAATAGCCTAATAATTATAGAAGTATTCCATGTGGTTTGTATCCAGTTCCCGTTTATCCCGATTATTTCCCTTTCCCATCCAGGCCTGACGGAGCTATTTCCGTAGGAAATGTCACTTTAGTGTTTTTACTTCAGTTGTATATGCAGACCAAGTGTCTTTTCATTTCTCAATTTTTTGCAATATCTCTTATGTAATTGCGAATTTTTTAGAACGCTGCGCAAGAACGATGGAGAGAGCATATGTTTCAGTTTTTCCATTGGCTTATGCTATGTTACTGTGTAATGGATAGTGCTGAAGCGAGGAATCACGTTAATGTGTTTTGCGTTCTTGTAATCTTGTTGTGGAAAAACGTGTTTCGTGTTGGATGTTAAGGAAACAGTAGCAGGCTTGTAAGGTTCAACCAAAGATTATTGTGATTCGTATAAGGTACGTGCAGCTCTAAGCCTGTTTACATATTTGAAGCCAAACAGAAACTCACAAAGAACACATCTGGGATTGCAGGTATTTCACATAGCTGAAGCTCATCCCTCTTCCATTTCCAAAGAGTTCTCAGTTCTGCTGTCATTTGAAACCTGACTGGTACGTGTTTAGTAACTAATCTTACTTTCTCTTTAATATGGAAATGCAAGCATTTTTATAAGCGTGATGTATCATGCACATAACTATAAGCATGCATAAATTTTATAGTTTATTAATTCGACTCGCATTTTTTGAACTATAAAATAATAAACAGTAATATTTCGACTCGCATTTTTTGAACTATAAAATAATAAACAGTAATAATATTACTGTTTATTATTTTATAGTTCAAAAAATGCCATTACGTAATGACTTGTAAATACTTACTTGAATAATTGAATTGCAGGTTTCACTGCTCCCGTTGTTATCAGCTTCCACATCATGGGTGTTCTCATTTCACGGTGGATTTTGGTAGTGTGTATTTCATGGATAATAGTGACAGCATGCAGTGCATATACCCATTCACACAGCGAAGACGAATCGGACAACGAGCAAGAGCACATGTCTGGATCCGGGTCATTTGTCTTGGACAACCCCAGTGATCACGTTATAACACATGGTAAATGTGTTCCCGTAACGATCCCGTTGTGCCAGGACATGGATTACAACGAGACCATCATGCCCAATCTCCTCCGCCACAACACACAAGAAGACGCCGGACTGGAAGCGCATCAGTTCTTCCCGTTGGTCAAAGTGAACTGCAGCGCCAATTTCCAGTTCTTTTTATGCATTCTGTATGCGCCCGTCTGCACCATGATGGATTTTCCCATTCCGCCGTGCCGCGAGCTGTGTGAGTCCGCTCAGCTCGGCTGCGAAAGTCTTATCACCAAGTTTGGATTTTCTTGGCCGGAACAGCTTAGGTGCTCGCAATTTCCGTACTATTCGGAAAGAAAAGAAGACCCGATGTGTGTGCTCGGCAACAAGCGGCTGAAAAAGGCAGATCTTTACAGCGGTCGCACAACGCTAACACCGGTACTGGATGATGATTATTCCTTCGTATGTCCTGAACAGTTAAAAGTCCCCGAGAAGAAAAAGTACGAAGTTTACATTAACAGTAAACTAGAGCCCAGTTGCGCTCTGCCATGCAATATTTTGTCAGAATTCTTCGCAGAGAATGATATCACATCGCTTCGGTACTTCATCGGGGTCGTGGCCATTCTTAACGTGATTGTTTCTCTGGTTTTCATTCTGACAGTGCTGACGGACTGGAAGCGTTTCCAGTATCCTTTGCGGCCGGTATTCTGGCTGGCGCTCTGCTGGTTTACCGTGGCCTTGGTTTATATTGCTGGTTTTTTTATGGGTGATGCAGCATCATGCATCCGGTTTGGGGAATCTGCGGTGACTGCCGACGTCGCGGTTCCTGTTATTACTCAGAGCTACACGGTTACCGGATGCACAATCATGGCGATGATATTGTATTTCTGCTTCTTGGCGTCGTCCATCTGGTGGGTTATTCTAACTGTTACATGGTACCTGTTAACGCACAAACAATGGTGCTACGAAGCCATTCAAGAAAAAGATGGACTGTTCCATGCCGTCACTTGGTCTGTGTCGTCCATTATGGCCATTGTGCTTTTGGTCCTGGGTCACATTGACGGAGACGTGATGAGCGGGGTGTGCTTCCTGGGGCTTTGGGACACATCGGTATTGCGGGGATTTGTTCTGGCACCCCTTCTCCTTTGTATTGCAGTCGGTCTTATATTCTTACTGCATGGCTTTGTATCGCTCCATCGGATTCGGACGGATTACGTTGGACGTAACAACCCTCAAGCCGGGAAGTTGCCACTGGACATTGAGCGCACGAAGATCCTCTCTTTTTCCATTCTGTTTTTATTTCCCATGGCAGTTTTGGTCGGCTGTCTTTTGTATGAATCCCAGTTTATGGATTCATGGCTGGTGACTTGGCATAACAAAGTGTGCAGGAAATATGGATTGAAATGTCCGGAAAATTCACCGGAATTTCAGGATAACACCAGCTGGCCGGAACCGCAGATGTGGGTGTTTTTTGTCAAATACATTGCGATTTTAATCATGCCGATAGCCGTAGCTTGGTGGATGGTCTCTCCGAAAACATATTACAGTTGGACGAAGGTGGCGCGGAAGATTTATAGCCCTGCTTACCAAGAAGCGCCACAACACCAGCGAAATTACAATGTGTACCACTCGTGAGTTCAACGTATGCGAACACTTCATACTTGAATTCGTAGGGTATTTGTTAGAATTTGGCACAAGAAGTCGTCGGTTGTACCAAATTTATGCAAACTTTTCCGATCTCTGGGTTCTTAGTTGGTCAGTCTCTTCGGCGTTTTGTAAATCCAGGTTTTGTACTTGTTTTCTATGCTTTCCTAGGTGAATGCTGTGTCGTTGTTATTTTTACTTTTTTTATGTTTTACTGCTGTTTTATACTTCGGAAATACGGATACAGTGTACTTGTATGAGTAGTTGTGGTTTCTGGCAATGAGTGAAATGGTCGTATTAAAATGTGCACTTTCGACCTATTAATTATGTGATAACTGGTAAGAGCACTTTGCATTCTTTACTTTGCTTCGAGAAAATCGGTTGATAACTTGATGGAACATCATTCGCGCAGTTAAAATATATGATGTAAACTTCAAAATTAAAAACTTCTGGTTGCAGAGGTAACTGGAGAAAACTTCACTAGGAAAAAATATCACAGTTCGGAGCGCTCTTTAGCTGGCCGAGACAAAAAAGACAGCACATCAACATTTTTTGCAAATTTAATTTTTTCTTCCACGACTGGCTTCTCCAATAAAATACGGAATTCCTGAACTTTCGCCATACTGCTTGAAAGACGACCAAATGCATTCCATAAAGACACGACTTCACTTCGCTTGAGTTTGAGGTTATCGATTGTGTCCACCTCGGTGAATAGGATTTTCAATGCAGTACCCATCCCTTGCGTTTGCAGCTTCCCCCACAGACGGCACTTCTCGCATCCAACACAATCCATAATCCGGGAAATATTGCGAAAATGTAGCCGAAACTCTTCTTTCAGTCGGCGCGCTTCCGCCGGTTCACCACAAAACAGTTTTGTTTCGTCAAAATAATTTGGGCAGGCTTCGACAGTATCCAGCAGTTTCTGGATATCCGCGCGTATTATTTCATCTTCCAGTACATCACCCGTGAAGTACTGCTCATTACGAAAACGGCGAGCGGCCTTGGCGATGGCACGCACCAGCACGGAATAGGCGAAATATAAATTGGAAATACGGTGTGTTCCTTCCTGCTCCGTTAGCGCGTCATCAAACCGCCGCAGAAACTCCTGCAAATTCGGCCCCCACCGGCCCGACGCGTGGAGATATTCAGCACACAGATGAATACTTATACTGGAATGTAAACCCGAGATCAACCGGAAGAAGACCTTCTTCTCCAAACACGCTTCCGAAACCATGGCCCGCGCCAGATTGGACGCCGAGTAGGGATCGGACGGCTGGAAACAGTTTTCTTCGTAAATTGTGCGCCAGATACGATTAGCATGCGGTCCCGTGTATCCTGTATAGCGTTCCGGGTTTTTGAGCAAATCAATGTAGCAGCAATCCTGAGAAAATTCATCATCCAGAACACAGAAATTCTCATCGCCGGCGCGGGTGTCCCATTTCCCGACATCGGCGCGTTGTGCCGCATTCAGCGATGTGTCCACCGAGCTCAATCGCTCTTCCTGCGCGCACGCCTCGTCTACTTTCTCCTGCACAGTGTTAGCCGACAGATCGCGCAGACTGACGGGCAATTCGTCCGCAGTGCAGGTCTTCACCGCGCAGTCCCGAATGGAACAGCGACCATCGTCGTGCCAGAACGGGCATTCACGCTGCAGATTCACCTTGAAGTAGCGGAAGAAATTCCGCTTCAGAACAGTCATGAGACGGGGATGGAGGAGTTTATCGTTGAGATGATCCAGAGATAATGCATCGCAGGCACATTTCACGACATCATTGCCGCTCAGACAATAACAGGGAAATTTTGAGGACGGTGTGGGAGCAGGGAAACTGTGCTGGAGGGAAACCGTGTCGCGACATCCATCCTCCGCAGTACAAGTCCACAGAATAAGAAAAAAGAAAGGAATTTCCAATGATAAAATTCCCCACAATTTCCGCATTTCAATCAAACCATTTCTGCAACAATGCACAAACCGCTGACAAAATTTACCATTTATTTTTTATTTGTTATGCTGAACACGGTTTCTGTGATCTACTCTGTACGAGTTCAGAAACGCGAAAAAGACTTTCACATCTTCAGATACGAAAAAGACTTTCACATCTTCAGATATTTCTGAGCGGCAAAAGCTTGGGCATAACTGAATTACCGTTAAAGAAATTTTGTTTAAATCATTTTTTTCTCACCTTGACGCTTGTTAAAAGTCCTAAGTATAAAGCATCCCTCCCGTCGCAGGCTTGATGTGAAGTCCTGTGTATTTCCATATGCCTCCTTTCCCAAAAATAATATTCTACAGTTGTTACCAGGACTAACTCAGTCTAACTGGCTCACAACATGATCGCTCACCACATGGACACGTGTTTAATAACAGTAACGTTACGTAACTTACATAATCTAGTTACAATGAGATGTAGAATAGTAAACAAACAAGAAATTGGTCTCCACTTCCCAGTTCCCAACAATACAGAAAAAATTTGCTGACATCATCATCATTTTTAGACTGTAACGGGCTACATTGATTCTTTATCTATTAAAAAATTCCTGTTCCTCGAAGTTCTTATGCTTTCTACAGTGCTTTGAAGTCAAAAATTAAAACTAGCGAAAACTTCCGGTAAAGCCGTAAAGGTACTGTACGAGTATTTATATTGAAATAACTGACGCATATTGTTGTTTTAAAATCGCTGTTTTGTTTCTGTATCACATCGCCGTCGGCCGTGGCGGCAGCTCATTGGCTAAAGAGGTTTGGCAAAATTTGATGTATTCATTTGGCATGCTTCCAGAGGCGGTTGCGTATACGGCCTTCTTGGTGTCCATTCATTTCGGAAACCATTCATTTCGGAAACCGTTCATTTCGGAAACCATTCATTTCGGAAACCATACGTTATCACAGTAGTTTAATATTATTATACTATTATAACAGTAGTTTAACTATTATAACTGGTACTAGTATGTTTAGTAGCCATTGTACAGTCTGTGTACTTTGTATCTGTACAATTAAACGGGTTCCCGAAATAACAGTATTCATGTACAAATTCTGTACAATCTTCATTTCAGCGCAACATCAACGCACGTTTTATCGGCACGCCTCACGTTAGGCTGCAACTTGTAAATGCATGGTTTATGGGCATTGTTTATGACTTACTTCTCCGCGCACCTGCTGTGGTTTTTTTCGTGTTAGAGATTGTTGTTTTGGTTATGACGCCGCTTATCTGCAGCCGTGTTCGATCGTGCGCACTAATACACGCTAAATGCGGGTAACATTGCTAAGCTCGATTATGATGCAGTTAATTCTTGTGCTCTCATTGTAACCCACAACACAAGCAAATCGAACCGTCCACATGGCAGTTGTCAGTTAGTACAGTAAATGAAAGTTTATGAAAAAGATCCCTGAAATGCTTTTTCGTTGACAATTCACAATTGTATAATTGTTTCTGAACAATAATGGCCGAAATAACGTCTTCTGTCACTAACTGTAAAGGAAAGTGTTGAAATGCATGGTTTCCGAAATGAACGATTTCCGAAATGAATGTTTTCCGAAATGAATGATTTCCGAAATGAATGATTTCCGAAATGAATGGTTTCCGAAATGATAGGGTGCCGGCCTTGGTGTCCATTCATTTCGGAAACCATTCATTTCGGAAACCGTTCATTTCGGAAACCATTCATTTCGGAAACCATACGTTATCACAGTAGTTTAATATTATTATACTATTATAACAGTAGTTTAACTATTATAACTGGTACTAGTATGTTTAGTAGCCATTGTACAGTCTGTGTACTTTGTATCTGTACAATTAAACGGGTTCCCGAAATAACAGTATTCATGTACAAATTCTGTACAATCTTCATTTCAGCGCAACATCAACGCACGTTTTATCGGCACGCCTCACGTTAGGCTGCAACTTGTAAATGCATGGTTTATGGGCATTGTTTATGACTTACTTCTCCGCGCACCTGCTGTGGTTTTTTTCGTGTTAGAGATTGTTGTTTTGGTTATGACGCCGCTTATCTGCAGCCGTGTTCGATCGTGCGCACTAATACACGCTAAATGCGGGTAACATTGCTAAGCTCGATTATGATGCAGTTAATTCTTGTGCTCTCATTGTAACCCACAACACAAGCAAATCGAACCGTCCACATGGCAGTTGTCAGTTAGTACAGTAAATGAAAGTTTATGAAAAAGATCCCTGAAATGCTTTTTCGTTGACAATTCACAATTGTATAATTGTTTCTGAACAATAATGGCCGAAATAACGTCTTCTGTCACTAACTGTAAAGGAAAGTGTTGAAATGCATGGTTTCCGAAATGAACGATTTCCGAAATGAATGTTTTCCGAAATGAATGATTTCCGAAATGAACGATTTCCGAAATGAATGTTTTCCGAAATGAATGATTTCCGAAATGAATGATTTCCGAAATGAATGGTTTCCGAAATGATAGGGTGCCGGCCTTCTTTGGGTCGTTTTCCACGATACATACGATGATACGAGGACAGAGGACTGTACGAGTACGTATTAACTGCGCGGAAAATCTGTTAAAAAAATGAAAATTTCATAAACATGTTTTGTTAACTTGTCCAATGTCCACAGACTCACAGTCCACCCTTGCATTCGGTGGAGCCAGTTGCTTTTAACTTTAACAGCCTTATTTTTAATTAATGTGATTAGCACTTTCAGACTAAAAAAATTATCCCATGAAGTTGAAGGAGCTCGAAAACATTTTGGGAGCCCTGGATGATTTTCGGAACCCGCGCATAGATCTGGAGCAGTACGCCACGCAGCCACATCTGGCAGCGCGAACCCTGTATACCATCGAGCAGTCATTCGGGGATATCAGCGATAAAATCGTGGCTGATTTGGGCTGTGGTCCCGGACGACTGGCGATTGGGGCTTCTTTACTCGGCGCTGCATTCTGCTGTGGGTTTGATGTCGACGCTGAATCTGCGGAAGTTTTTGTGGAAAACTGCCGGACGGCGGACGCAGTAAAAACGGACTGTATCCTGTGTGACGTTTCGGGTTTGACACTCGGAAAATACGATGGACCGTTCAAAAATTTCTTCGATACGGTAATCACGAATCCTCCCTTTGGAACCAAGAATAATCAGGGCATCGATGTGCAGTTTTTGGAAGCCGGCCTGAATTTGTCAAAAAATTCTGTTTATTCCTTCCATAAATCGGCGTGCCGACCGTTCCTTCTCAGGAAGGCCAAAGCGTGGCAAGTTTCTATGGAAGTTGTCGCGGAATTAGTGTTTGATCTTCCTTCGTCGTACAAGAAGCACAAGAAAGATTCTGTTGACATAAAAGTTGATTTTATTCGAACGGCTCATTTGCCGTAATTTAACTTTTTTATCGATTTGAACTTGTCTTTCAGGTACTGCATTGAAATTTCTGTATGAAAGAAATATTGGGAAGTACTGTAAATGAATATCTGTTAATTTTGATACGTACAGAGTATGCTTTTACGCAAAATCAATGTCAGTTGAATACCGCTCCTTCTTGCAATCTTGCTTCATATTTTTTTATCACTCTTGAGAGTTGAAATAATGTGAGATGCAGTATTATTGTGTACTCGTAGCAAAGCAATTCAGTCTTCAACACTGAGAGCTTCATCTTCATCTATGGGTATTCATTCAGCTAGCTCCCAGTTACATTTTATCCTGTGATGCGAAATCAGCCGATATAGTTCTCGTACGGTCGTACCTACACAATTATAATATCAATATCTATATATAGTACAGCGTTAATATTCATTTTACATAATAATGAATAATCAGTACTTAATGGATATTCAAACCGAGCGATCATCTCTGGTCAGTTTAGTGCTGACTTCACTTAAATCCCGAATGGTCAAACCGCGAACGAAGTGACTTTCTCAAATTAATCCGGTTGTATTTCTATAATTTGTTTTAACGCGTTTTCTTTTGATTTGTGGCATGTTTCTGAAAAAAGTCAATCAATAGTCAATACGAGACTCTGAATAAAAATGAAAAGCTGCTGAAAAATTACGAAAAAGTATCCCTGTTCTGTTGAAAACAGATATTTTTGAAAAGTATTAGGTATTCAGCCGGCAGCCGCCCTCCGGGAAATGGTTTTTAAGTGCTTTGTACTACCGCTGCGTTTACGGTTTGCTGGCACATTTTTGGAAAAGACAGAAGTCACAAATTTTCCAGCTTAAATGTTCAATATTTTATCCGCAAAACAGGAGCGGCATCCTTGAAATTTGGATTGTATCTTGTTTTTTGAACCAGATTTCCAATTTCGGCACCGGTATAATGGATAACGAGCAGAAAATTCTCGTAAGTGTAAAGGTGGAATAGTGACGTTTTTTGTTTTGCGATCTGCGAGATATCCTGCGACACTTGCTATCTTTTGGATTCTGGAATTCAGTTATTTTCAGTCCAACTCTCTTGCAGGAACCAAGCTTGTATGTTGTGAAAGCTTTACTGATACTGGATAGTGATGGAAATCGTCTGATTGCAAAGGTTTGTATCGTAATTTCGTTTGTGGTATACCTATCTGGCTGCTTGCGACAGCACGTGGCAATTTTTCATAGTATTACGATGACACATTCCCGAATCTTAAGGAACAGAAGGCATTCGAGCGCAGTCTATTTTCCAAAACAAGCAAAGCCAGCGGTAAGTTCGATAAATCTTGTAGTATTTCCGCAGGTTGGGTTTGGGTTTTCGGGCTTCTCGCATTTGTGACAATTCCGAATCTTGATTAAATTAGCTGTTAGCACTTATCTGTTAGCAGTTAGCTGTTAGCATAATGATAAATAAGTCTGTTAGTATTAGACCTGTGAAATACTACTACCCGGGTATGGTTTGAAACTTTGAATTTTGAGTCAAAATGCATTCCTTTCCTAATTTATGTTGGTCCTGGTTTTGAAAATGTTAGTTGAAATTTGATTTTGTAGATGGTCAAGTAAATTATCTTGTTATATCACATTTTCATTCATTTTCTCGTTACTCGTACTAGTACATTCAGTTTGCTCGTGAAATTTATTGGATGCGATTCGATAGGAGAAATCATATTGATTGATGGACTGACTTGTGTCTACAAGAGCAACGTGGATCTCTACTTTTATGTTGCGGGTAGCAGCCATGAAAATGAAGTAAGTCAGCGTCAGTCACACGATTTTCAAAAGTTTACCGCAAAGTGTTGTGGATTAAATTATCACTTGATCGGTAACTAGTAAGTAAGTTTTATCGGGATTGTAATAATATTAACACGCGCGTAATTAATATTATTAAAGTCATCGTTGTGGATATTATCGACCCTTGCGAACTAGTGTTTCTTATTTTCGCAGCTAATGCTGACAGCAGTTTTAAACTGCTTGTACGACGCCACGCAAAAAGTTTTGGGAAAGAGCTTCGAGAAACGGAATTTTATGGACAACTTGGACTCGATATTTCTGATTGTGGACGAGATTGTAGATGGCGGGTAAGTTTTTAAGGCTGGTTTAGGACCGTTAGGATCTTCACCTTGTTTTTCACGACTTCTCTGACCCTGTAATTTATGAGCCGTTTTGTTGTTCGTTAAATCTGTAAAACTCGAGAATGGTAACACAATGGTAGCGAGACGCGAGCCACTCACTGGCAGTGAATCACATTACCGGTACTTTTTAGTTGTTTTACAGATTGAAATGATCTGTTCCAACTTCCAACTGTGATTTTTTCATAACTTTGTATCCAGAAACGTTAACCGCTTACAATTAGTGGCAGTTGGTTATTTCGCGATTGCAGAGATTTTACATGTTACGTGCATCTTGTAATGGCTTTAACGAGACGTATTTAATTTGATTTGTTCATTTTTGTTGTAGAATTATTTGCGAAATCGATCCGGATTCCGTCACACAGAGAGCCGCGATCCGCACCGAGGAGCAGCTGCCTTTAGGAGAGCAAACAGTGGCCCAAGTTTTGCAGACAGCAAAGGAGCAGCTACGATGGTCGCTTTTGAAATGAACCAGCACAATTATTTTGGTACTGATTCGTTTACAGCTTTTATTTTTGGCTGACGATAATTTCGTAAAAAAGAACAAAAAATCAACAACGGAACTTTAACAAAAAAATGCATTGTTATGAGGTGTTTAGAATAACTTATTGGTAATTTGGGATGGTGGCTCTTTAAATCTCATGCGGATCTTTATCGATTACTGTATTTTGCATCGCCGCCATAATGATGACTTAAATAAACCGACGAATAAGCATCGCTCCAGCTCTGTCCTTTTTTACTGTGGCGTTTCCGTCTATGAAGGAGCATAGCAACGAGAATGGTCGCCGATAGGACGATGAGAAAGCCGGCCACGGCTAAAATGATGGCGAAAGCGCTTTTGGGCACACACCACTGGTTTCCGTTGACTGGTGCGTAGCCTTGAGACGTCACATCTACGAGCACGACGGTTCGATGAGAAAAGTTACACGTGTGACGTTTTAGCATTGTACCGTTGTCTTCGTTGAGGTAGTCTTTTGGTTCCCGTACGTTCATGCTTCTCACAATGGCTATGGTCTTGTTTTCGCCGGGTATAATGTCATCCTCCACGTTACGTTTGTGTCTTCCGCCGAGGTTGCACACGGGAGGCTATAGTTACGAGGTTCTATTATACATTTTTCTTTAACTGGGTTTACAAGCAGCGCAGTTGTATGTTTTCTGTGTCTCCGAGACTCCTACCGTGGGCAGTTTTCGGCAGTCTCCTCCGATTTTTAAGCAAAACTTTACAGCGCACTGATAAAATAAAGAGTCCGTATAGGGAAATTTGTGCGCGCGGAATATTACGTAAGCTTGAGTGAGGTCAGCCGAATAAATAAATCCTCCAAATAATGTGGAATCCACTGGACATCTGTACGAATATGAAAACGATCGGTGAACTGCTGCTGACCAAAACTGCATGATGGAATGACAAAAAAATGTTTGCAAGTCCTCTGCTCTTATCGCAAAACTTGTAAAAACGGATAAAACGGTAATTTGTAAAAGAGGAGAAAGTCGATCTTGTAGTCTCCACTGCATACAATGGATTAATTACCCTTCGCTGTCGATTAAGGGCTGGACGCCACCCATATCTACGCCGTCTTTTACATAGCAGTCTTTGATCAGCATCCCATAAATTTTTTGCTGTGGAAGGTTGATGACCAGAGCGACGGGATCACCAATTGTAACGAAATCGGCCATAACACGGGATTCAGAACTTCCTTTATAAATGCTCATGGATACAACTGGCAAATCAGCGCGTGATTCCAGCTGCATTGCCGGTACTGAATCACTGTCGACATACGGCAGTTTAATGATTGCGGAAGTCATCTTCATAAATATAAACTTTAATATAATTTTATTTACGGAATCACGGGATTCTGCATCATAATAATTCTTCCAATTCCCATTAATTTTGTATTTCGTACATTCAAGATTTACCATTTGCCATTCGCGATTTACCTCATATTCAAGGTAGCGGTGATGGTGGTATTAAAACTTTCGTAACGACACCGAACATTGTATACTCGATCCCCTTGCGTCACCAATGACCGATGCAGTTGAATAATAATGGTATTTTGGTATTCCAAGCCTGTCTGCACATTAGAAGCACATACAAATCATATTGTACAGGCTGCATGCTCAATGTAGCTTATTCGAGGAAGATTTTTCAAGTGCAGATACTGAGATACAGTATGACTTACCTTACAATTAGGAACATATTTCGTACAAAGAAGCTTAGATTTAATTCAGTTATTCAAATTTTCGGAGTACCTTATATTTTAGCAAGGTCAAGAAGAAATTATACCGAGCCGAAAATTCAAAAGTTCCTGTTGAACTAGTGACAGATCCCTTACCGACACATCTTGTAAAACCGTATTGCAGGAGGTTAAAGGCAGCGCATACAGGCTTGCGGTTTCGTTCGAGTTTGTTTCTGAAGTGGAATTTGTGTCGTACACCTTTTCGCAGATGCTTCGCCCGAGACCTTTCGGATACACCCGGCCAGTATACGGTTGCGTTGTACGAATATGGAGGCGTATTTCCACAGGACTGCACTCCACATCGACACCTAGCACATAAAGGTCATGAACCCCAGCTGACGGATACCCATCATTTCAACAAGCAAAACCACTTTTATTGCTTTTTGTTGAGTACTATATGAGAAAAAGTAGAAAATTAAGCTACGACGTAGTACCTTGTATTTGGTTTCCCATTTCGTCCATTGAAAGAGATACTGTTTCAGACAGAAAATGCAGAACAATCTGCAAATTAAAATGTACATACAAAACCTTGTGTGAATTAGTAGACACTAGACGGTATAGACAACCGGCCTGAGCATTTTCAGTGAAATAAAAAAAGCTTCGCTTACCAAGAAAAATGGTGAAAGCAAAGATATTTTGTTTTGCACGAAGGGTTCCATTTTCTATCTCGTACAGTTGATTGGCCAAAAATGATCACGATGGATAGGAAACTGCTGTCGTATTAACTTCGCATTCAAGGCCTGTAAAATAAAAAAACTGCAACAGAATACTTAACATGTGCAGATATTAACCTCAAAAAATTTGTATACTAGTCCATTTTCAGAAAGAAATTTAATATGTTATCAATTTAACTTATTTAGCATTTATCGCTGTTTAATTTCGGAGTAAAAAAATATCAGTAAAAAGGTGAGGTGCTTCACGTTGTCCATAATAGCGATTAGTTCAATGTTTAAAATTCCAGCGTGAAAACTTAATAAACCATGGCAGAATGTAACGCTCAGTACTTCTATGCTCATACTGTAATTACGTACGTATGCATTAGATAACTAGAACTGTAAATCTGCCTGCTCACCATATTGTGATTTACAAAAAATAAGTGTAAATAATGATAAAAGTATAAGGAAACAAGCACATTTCTCTAAACCGTTTATTTTTAAAATGTGCTCCGAAGTGCAGACAAAGCTATTGTTTTTGTGGAGCGTTAATTTATTCCTCGAAAGACATGAGCTTCATAACCTTGTTGTTACTACTTATCCGTAACGATAGCGCTGATAAAAAATTTGAAGACATTCCCAGCAGCACCAGCACTTACTCCGTAATATGCGATTAAGTACTGGGGCTTCGTTTGATTCAATAATAACGAAATCATATTTAAAAAATTTAGAAATACACCTTAATCTAAAGAGAAACACTTTGATTAGTAGCACTGAGCGATTGAATCTACTTTGAGTGGTGCTTCAAATTTTGTCCAGAACAATAATAACTGTGACTTTGTTTTTTGAATTTTATAGGGTATTTGCTGTATTTACAGTTAACCCAAACGAGCTAATGCACGTGTAACTGTAAAGTGCATGCGACATTCCGCTATGCTGGGAACCACCAGTCGACACCCTGATTAATAAATAGCGTTACGTTACCTAAAAACATATGCATTTTATTAATACGAGATTCTCATTCGTTTCTACGCTGGACACGTGCATCTTTAGAGGAAGCAAAAAATTTTTAACTGCTACTTACTATTTGGTAATTTTTCGATGTACATAATTACTACCGGCTGCCAAATCGCATGTTCTTTGAGTTTGATCAATCCTACTTATTTGTTATTAGTAAGATATGAAAACGAAAGTTGTTGATAAGTCTGGTTCAAAAGCATTTTCACGAGCAAAAACAGCGTTTGATTGGCCTTCATAGTACATTTTTTGTTGGTGTAATGAACTGACAAAAACGATGATCGAAGGCTGCGATCTGGATGTGCTTGACAAGACATCAACCGGCAGACTGTGTAGTCAGCATATTGATGTCGTTTTATTGGCGGTAAATAGCATTCGTTCCGCATATCGTCTAATTGAGCAATGTTAACGAATTGCGCTTGCACATGTGAAAGTGTAACGACATTTGCGTCCGATAAAATAAAACTGAAACTTACCAAAATTACGTGTACATAATTATTTTAAAGCAGATCAAATCGGTGCAAATCTTTCACTTTTATAGGAAACTTATGGCAGTATTATATCGCCAGAGCGAATAAAATCTATATAAATTGAAGTCAAGGCTAGCCATAGTAGATATAGTGTTTAAGTGTTGACCAGCTTCCTAATTCAGGAGCAAATTTATTTATTACATTTTTAGTTCTGCTCGGTAGTCAAATTCAAATAAAATATTTATTCGGTTTTTGAAAAGTGGTTGTCATGATTTGGTTCACAGAAACAGTCGATTGCCGTCTGCAAAATTGTTGATGGAAAATTTATTTATATAATTACAAACCAGTGTGAAATTGCTGGTATAAACTTCTGTAATTTATTACATCGGTGGATATTGTTTACATGGCAGGTTTGGTAGGATGATACTGGAAAACAGCGCTGTTAAACACTGCCAACATTTAAACATTTTTTCCATCTTTGTGCACTAATGGCGCTCGAAGATCTGGCGTTGATAACTAATAAGAATAATTGTTATTAACTGCTTAGTAATTGTACTTAAGTATACTGCACGTCCATGAACAGCCGGATGGTTCGATACAGCAGCCGGTTACATTGAATATCTAGAGTATAATGTTTTGATTTTAGTCTGCAGATAAAGATTTTCAGATGAATAAATTAGCCGGTTAAAAATAACGGTACCGTCGATACGTGCGCGGTTTTTGTGCCTACCTGGCTGTAATACGCAGTAGTTTCGTTCAAATTTCTCCGATTGATCCCAATTACACCGATACCGATTTCGGTATTGCAAAAGGGTTTTGTTGTCGAACTGGTGAAAATCGCGTGAAAGGTGATTAAAGCGTGGAAGGTGCTAATAATAGCTGCAGTGCCGAATGCACGAAAATAATGCACGAATGGAAAAATAAATAAAAAATTAAATCCCACATAAAAGAAACTTTCCACGTAAATCGTAATGAAACACCCAATGAAATGAAAGTACTCTGCAAAAATGTGCCCACAAATACTGTTACAACAATACTATTTGTATCAAAATTTAGCAGTCAAAATTAATCTTGTATTGCACTAGATATATGCCTGCGGAGGGCAAGCAATCAGGAAGAAATAAAATCAACAGATCTATATATAATCTTAGCACAGGTGGACTCCAAGTTAGTGCAGTACTCGTGCAATTTATGCAACTGGTGGAAACTGTCCGGCACGCATTCACTGCATACCCTACTGTATGGTCACGCTTCAGCAAATATGCAGTTGCATCTGTGTTCGTATAATATTATGAAAACTGTTCAGGATAGCTTAGTCTGGGTGCAACATATTATTACAGAATTTTTAAACCACTATTTTATTTTGCAGTAAGGTAAAAATTCGACCAGTTCTTATGAATTTTAAACTGCTTTTACCAAAAGCCACTTGCACCCAGAGAAATAAATTTTGTGATGTATGCTTACTGCTTAGCCATACCATACCGGCCAGACGATACATTTTTTTAAAAATCTTGCATGTCACCGCGGCAATTTGTATTTGTTTTCATAATGCAGCAAAAATTACACTGCAACCCTTATCAAAGACTGCAACAATAAGATTGAAAATATAATATTGTCATCAGCTTCAGCTTTTATAATATTGTTTCGAAAAAGTATGTTTCAGGTGATGAAATACAATTGTACAAAGCTTTCACGTATAATACAGAATGCACATGGACCGCCATGTATACTGTAATGCGCTGCAGCTTACATCCGTAGCCAGGAGGAAGGGTAAGTATTAGTGACCTTTGTAGAGCATAACTAACTGAACTTTTCATATCCAGGTACACGTTGCAGTTTCTACACTGTCAATCTCAGCTGATAATATAGTAGCATGTGGTAATAAAGCACATTAATAACTACCTCGAGGTCTACATCACCGAAACTTTTATTTTTTTTCGTTTTTATTAAAACAGTCTGCAAAGTTCCTGCTTTCCTTCATGAAACGCAACATGTAATAAGAGATTCACAACGGTAACAAGGTTAAAACATTAACCAACAGCCAAATTAAACATTAACCGATGGGTATGTCTAAAGCCAGCTACAAAAATTCAACAATTATTTAACTGGTTACAAGAAAATAAATTAACCCGTGCGGAATCACACAAATTTTGTAGTGACATTGTCTCTTTCTGAAGTGACCACGGCGTCAGGTAACTGCAGGGAATTCGTGGCCAGTTGTGTGAGAATTTCTCTGAGGGTTTTCTCGGATGCCGACGCAATGGGTTCGGAGAGGACTTTGTTGGCCAGGCTAGCGCTGCGGTACTGTTGCATGGGAGACGAGCCGCCCTGACTGTAGCCGCCTGAGCCGAATGATCCACTGCCTCCGCCTAAGCCGCCCAAGCTGCCTCCGTATGTGCTACCGCTGCTTCCGCCGGCTCCGCCACTGTAGCTTCCGGCGCCGCTACCGCTGTAACTGCCTCCACCCATTCCCGAACCGGCACCGTACAAATCGTCGAACAGGCGCAGATCTTGACGATAAATGCGGGGATTGGAGTAATCAACCCAGGCAGCGGAGCTATAAAGATATTGCTGTTAATAATACTTTTCGGTATATTTAATAGGCAAAAGGTCAAACATATTGGTCATCTGCATAACATGCGGCTCAGTGACGGGCATACAACGTTTTAATACTTACTTTGGGCAGTTAACGTTGTACCACCAGTCGCAGATCAGAGTGATTTGGTTAAAAAGTGTTCCGTTGGGGCAGATGTAGGAAAACATATAGTTATTCGCTTCGCATCGGCGAAACACTTGGCATCTAGTCTCGGGATCAGCTAGAATTAAGAGTATTTCAGGTACCAAGCCAGCGAACGCATTGTTATGGCAGAGCGAAATTATTAAGCGCCAGTATGATTACTTACCATAAAATCCAAACTGACGGACGTTGGAGCAGGAGAAGCTGGTTTGTGGAATATGAGCTAGAGTCGGGTAGGATGTGCCGGGAATGGAATTCGCAATGACGGCGGTTGCTTCAGATGCTGTCAATGCTTCGGATCCTCGCAGCTGGTCCAGCGCAGCGTAAACATTTGGATTTTGCGCGGCAATAATGCTGTTACCGCCATACAGATTAAAGGACGAACTGCCGGCTGCCGCAAAGCCACTGGCTGTTCCGGAATTGGAATAACTGCCGCCACCACTGCTGCCGGAAGAACCGGACACCAAACCGGGGTATGAACTCATGCCACTGCTAGACGAGCTAGGATAGCCTGCAATGGGGAGGTTGCAAGTGGACAATAAAGACTGCATTGGTAGAATCTGCGTACCAACTATACCGCTTGATCCTGCGGGGAATCCAGAAAGGCCACCGCCCGACCCTGCTTGACCGTAACCGGATTGCCGCTTCATCTGTCAATAAAAATAAATGTATTTCAAATGCTTCTTTATTGTACAGAGCACTTAAAATAAAACATTCGAACATTTTGGCATTGCTGGCTGATGATATTACAGATCTTAGTCACTACTGATGCCACCTATCCATCTCAGACTTTACCATAGTGTCGGCAAAGGTGACCGACGACAGGAAGACTGTGGAAAAAACTATGATGAACACCGAAGACATCCTGATCTTCCTATTTCCGAAAGGAACCGATTGCGATTGCTGTTGAGCTAGTGGCCTTTGGTCAACGTAAGAAAGGGTGCGCAACCCACTGATTATGGGATTGGTAACAAATGGGAGCAGTAAAATCCTATTGATGATGTAAAGCACGGAATATATGGATACTGAACACCGGTTACTAAACGGTTTTTGGAGGACAGGTGCAAAATACTTAAGTGGATTAATACTTAAGTGAGAACTGAATGATGCTGTTGGTGACCAAGATGATAGTTTATATACGGATAACACCAGGCGGAAATGAGACATTGTTGCGACAATCTATGCGTCATGCAGTCCTGTTTGCTACAAGCGCTATCTCCACTGCAGCCACTGTGATTTAATGACGCCGGAAGCGAATGACCAGTCACTGGGGCAGTTTACCGGTTAGTTATGCACTGACTTGGACTGGAATAGGTGACATATGCGAGAGTGACCAGGCTTTAAGTAACCATTGTTGCCATATTTCCCAGGTTGTCTTTGAAGTACAACCGTTTTCTCGTGTTTGTCGTGTTTACGGAGTCAGGCAATGACTGCATTTTATAATGGCAAAGCTAAACAGTCACACATATTCACCGGCAGATGAATGCGTATAAAGGGCAGCAATAGCCCTAATCCACTACTTATCAAAATTGTGTAACCTGCGATATCAACAGTTACCACTGCGATTACACAGGACTATTAGTTCTTTTTGTAGAAGGGTTCGTTTAAACATTTTCTTTAGGCGAACGCTCGAATATGGTAAATATAAAGTTATGACGACTCTTTAATTTGTTACACACCTTTTCGACAAGGCCGAATTTCCGTACCATTAAATGCTTTAAATTTTCTAACAGCATGTGAACTGTACGAAAACGACTTTTACTTTGCCTATGCTGGGTAGTGATATTAACAGAATTTTGAAAAATTATGGTCTAATTAATTTGTTTTGTTCATTTCTATACTTATTTATTCACGGCAGATTAGCCCGGAGTACAGATGTACATACATATCCTAACACAAGCATTCGAAATGTTTTGTTTGAGGAGTGTTATCGATACCGTATCGATAACACTCCACGTATCGACGATACGTATATATAACTCTTGAGTTCCGTAGGATTTTTGCAAACCATAAAACATCTAAATTTCGCTGTTACGTATATTACTGTACAACTCCTTCGGATATCGTATAATTCGTATTAAGTAAATGACATGAAAGTGCCGATGAGGCAGTTAAAAATAAATTTGAACAATAAACATGTATATACTTGCGGTTTTCTTTTGTTGTGCTGTGTGTTATTGCTCTTATGCGCTGCTCCAAGCACATTAGTCCAGAATTTCTCGCTGCATAAAACTTCGAAAATCATGAATACTATGAGATCGATGCAAGCTGGCGCGAGCAAGGGTTTCTGCAGGAGACAGTTTCTCAGACCGATTCTCGATCGTACGCTTGTCAAAATTTGCATAGTATTCTAATATATGGGATCGCAGTAATCGGAGTTCTTGGGCGTTCAGCCAGTTTGCAAATCCAAATACTTCCGTGTGTCCTAAAAAGCCAATTGCACACCGCATCACAGCATGACTTGTTCTGTTATTCCAGCACTGTACACTCCAGCTGAAATTAGTTAAGAATAATTCATGCTTCCGTGGTCGAAACGTGTGCCCATGTTGCGCTTTTAGAGCTGTTACTCTGGAGCTCAGTACACCATACGCTTTATCTCGGCTCGCCGTTAAAATGGAAAATATTCCATGAATACGCTCAGCTGTCTTGAACTCTTGGCAGTTGTCGGTCCAGTGTTTATCACCATTTAGCAATTGTCGCAAGGCCACTTTTCTAATGGACATACTGAAACTGTTACTCGGCACCCGTCGAGCTTCTTCGCACACAAGAACAATATAACCCCTCAGATTTGGGACAATTTTGGGTTCTGATAGAGATCTCCGCCGTGACCTCGTGGGAACCAAGTTCCGCAGTACTGCATTTGCATCACCAGCTTCATGTAGTTGCGTGGAGCTTTCAGCAGCATGATAACTGGCAGCGTATGATCGCCAACTGAATGTTGCACATAGCTTCATCTGACTTTTCATCCATTTCATAATGTCAGCGATTTTGTCTTCTCTTAGGAATTCTGAATAGCAGTGACGCAGTTGGAGTAAACGCTGTGCAAATAAAACAGGGGGTATGTCGACTTGTTCAGCTAAATGTGTTTTGAACATGGCTTGAATTCTTAATTTTTCACGACGGGAAACTGGTCTGGATCCATAAAAGAAAACACAGATAGGCAATAATGGCAGACCCTGATCCACAGAGAACAAATTGCTCACAACTTCGTCTAACTGTACGCGCATTCTCACAGACTGCCCGTAGCGAATTAGAATAAAAATGCCCGTCACATTAGCACGAAATAACTTTCTTATTATTGCGGGTGGAGAGAGACGCTGACTCCAGAAGGACTGATCTAAGACTATGACCTTTCCAGATTCGAGTGGAGATGCTTGCTTTTCCACCAGACGTCGAGTGATCTGTTGTTTAATATTTTCCAACACATTCCCGTGAACCGAGTTATACGACGGTGCCAGCAGTGCAACATTCATTCCGGAGATGTAGATAGGTAAGGGGTTTTTGTCGATTTACTTTTGTATGAACTATAAATAATTATTAGTGCTTCTATCATATCACGCATTAGCGCATATATCAATATGATATCGATGGTTCTTGAAAATTAAAGGGTGGCAACTGGCAAGTAGCGATTTGTTTGAAATCTGTAACATTTGTTTGGAAACCAAAACCATTTGTTTAAAACGTTTGTTTTTGTAGTTAGCATTTGTTTGTAACATTTGTCTGCAAGCTAAATCATTTACTTGTAGCATCTGTTTATAGAAACTAGTTTACAAGTAACGATTATTAAATTTTATTAGCACCATTGAAATCTAACTATTAACTATGCAGCCCGTAAATACTTACAATACTTGATTATTAAGTAATTTTACGGTAAGTAACTAGGTGTGCTTCATGTTTAAGTACATACATGTTAAACGTCGTACAACAAATTACGGAGGTACATAAGTGCTACTCTAGTACTGGTTGTAGTTTTATAAATCACCACTTACAAATCATAACTTTTTGTTCGTTATAAGAACAATCTTCTGTAAGGTTTTGCACACTTTATCGTAAATAGGTAATCAATTTTCGTAAATTTCTAGCCAACATATAGGGTAGGTATTGATAATACATGTCCGTGCATATCTGTTCGAATCTGATGTTACGGACCATCTTACGGTGTGACGGAGGGACGAAAGGAAAAATTTATCTGTTCTACACTTCATTGCGATGAACAAAATAAAAAACATGTAAAGTATTACAGGTCAACCATGTGGCAAAATGTGCCGGCTGTACAGTTCGTCACATTTTCAGTTTTATAAAAAAACAACCTATTCTCCGGCAACTACATGACGCAATATCTGTATTTTAAAACGCATTTAAAAAATTTCGAAATCTCTCGTTTTATCTCCCCACCCCTCTGTGTTCCAATAAGTACAGTACTAGAGTAATAAGTAATAACACTATAACAGTACATAAGTCAGACTTCTGAGTTTGTTTACAAACGTACTCGTATAAATACAGCACCTTGTTATTACGATAGCGAACTCATCATTCATCATCCTTGTCAGGTGATTACTTACGATTTTTAATTTTATGCTTTACATTTTAGACTATTCATTAACGTTCTATTCACCTTCCGGTTTTTTATTTGAAAGTAGAGTGCACAAACGCTTGATAAGCACGTGCACGACAGGAATGGCCTGCACCCGAGATTCCACAGCGGAGGATAAAGGCAGCATCGAATACTTCGACAAGCTGACAAAACAGCACGAAGAAACGGGTTACCTGCGGAAAACATCCAATAATACAGGCTGGCAGATGAATGTCCTGGACGAGTTCGGAGAGAGATTCATCCAGTATGCCAAAGCCTGCCAAAAGCCAGTTATCCTGGATCTTGGCGTGGCGTATGGTTACACTTCTAAACAGCTGCTGGAAGCGGGCGCTTCCGTCGTTGCCAATGAACTCTCCGCCGAAATGCTGGACGACCTGCTTTCAAACGTCAGTGAAGAGGAAAAAGGACGACTGCAGCTGAAACCAGGAAGTGCCCTGGATTTGGATTTTCCAGCGGAATCGTTCGATGGGATTCTGGCTAGTCGATGTTTCCAATTTTTCAAGCCAGACGAAATGCGAAGTATGCTGGCACGCTTCGCAAAATGGCTGCGACCCGGTGGAAAACTATGCCTCACAGTCTCCTCGCCATATTTATGCAAAGCCATTCCGTTCTTGGATGAGTATAATCGCCGACGGGCTGCTGGAGTAGAGTTCCCGGGATATTTTGAGACCGCGGAATTGGAGACGATCCTGGAAGGCCTGAAGCATATGCATTTTGTGGATTTGGATGTGCTGAAACGTGAAGTCGAGAGAGCTGGTTTCGTTGTAGAGAAATTGGCATACATTGCACGTCCATATGCTGCGAACAACGGAAAGGAGGGTGTTGGGGTGATATGCAGCAAACCCAAACTATAACTGCAGTGCTGCTATTGATTGACTCTGGCGGAACGTGGATTTGTGGCAGAATGAAAATAGTGATTAACCGTTAGCGGTGTGATTTTTAGCGAATCCAATAGAAGTATTATATTTCGGGGGTGCTTGTTTCCGGTATTTCACCCTTGCCGTTTCTGTTTTCGTTTCAAAAATTTTATTTATTTGTGGATTTATTAATCGTTCCCATGTTTTCTGCAGAGATTGACAGTTTGGCATTATATCGGATTATTTTGGAGCGAATAAAAAAGTGAGTACGATACGGCAGTTTGCAAAATGTCGTTTTGCAAAATGGCAGTTTGCAAAATGTAATCGTCTTGGAGTAAACGCAGCTGTCGCTTAAGAGTTTAGATGGAAGTACCAATCAATAAATTTTTTTGACGAAACGTAGAAACGAATTTCACTGTCCACAATCGAACGATGTACGAATCAGAAAACAATTCATTTGTAAAATCAAAAGCGCACATCAACGATACAACAGTTAACAAGTTAAGAACACAAAGAAGCACGAAATAGAAATAAATGGAATTCAGCTTATGAGCCAATACGAAGCAGCTTATTTCTTCAAGCATTCCACAGCTTTTCGAGCGGCATCTTCAAGGGAATCAGCAGCCGTAATGGGCAAATTGCTGTCTTTCAGCAGCCTCCTCGCTTCGTCCGCGTTGGTTCCTACCAATATTTTGCAACATTTCGTGCATGTAGAATAGGCAGCCGTAGCTGAATCGGTGCAGCACCAACTGCTAAACTTTTTTCGTTTAATCGACTGCAAAACGCTTACCTTCTAATCGCACAACAAGTGGAATGGACAATTTAATATTGCGGCAAGCGTTGATAATACCATTGGCAATCGTTGCGCAGTTGACAATACCCCCGAAAATATTAACTAAAATTGCCTTGACTTTCCTATCAGCGCTAAGAATTCGGAACGCTTCCTGGACTTGATTTTCCTTAACGTTGCCTCCGACATCCAGGAAATTGGCCGGTTCGCCGCCGTGTAATTTGATCAAATCCATAGTCGCCATAGCCAAACCAGCGCCATTCACTAATAAATAAACACCGAACTTCGTTAGACGAGTGAAAATCAATCATCCATTTTGCATGCGTCGTACTGATATATTTCAATGCCCATGTTTAATTTCAGACCCAAAAACGTGCTCTGCCATCTAAGCCAAAATACAGAGCGATCGATGCCTTAGAAATTCACAGATAGAAGTGTGCAAAATAATCAATTTTTTGACAAGAGTAACGTCATTGTGTTTGGATCATTACCCAGGCATCCGATGTTTCCGTCGAGTCCGATATAGTTCAAATTATGTTTTCCAGCGTCCACTTCGCGTGGATCGCTCTCCATCGTATCGCCCATTTGAAAAATCTTCTCCTGTCTATACTGAGCATTCTGAAAATCAAGAATCAGTAAGTAATGAGCTCTACACATGCATCAGAAAGTATTTCGTACATCATCAAATGACAATTTGGCATCAAAGCACACAATGCGTCCATCAGGGGTTTGTCCAAAGGGATTCACCTCCACTTGAGTGGCATCCACTTTCAAAAACAGATTGTACAATTTCATAATTTGATTTTTTGCTTCTTCCAGATACTGCGGTTCGAATTCCAACTTCTTGGCAATCTTCATTGCTTCTTCGGCACTCAGTCCACTGTCGATATCGATAAAAGACGTAAAAATAGCCTCCGGAGATTCTTCCGATACCTGCTCCGAAGGAAATTAGATGGCAAAACTTCTTACTTTGCACTAATTACAAAGTGCGCTAATTAATCAGACGCACTAAATATTCCTTAATACTAATCTGCTATTATTGAAAGTCATAAGATCGGTCAACTTCCCAGCTTCTTCCACATACGAAACAAAACAAAAAAAGAACAAACAAACAGGATAAATCAAAAATAGCAGCCCGCGAAATGCAAGCATAAATTTGTATTTTCAATTTAAAAATTTGTATTTTCAAGTCCATCCAACCAGCTTACACTGACTCATAATACAGAAAGGTACATAGTTTAAATTAGTCTGTGAGGTGACTACAAACAGTATAAACTATAAACTTAATAGTACATAACGCTAACTCAGCTTTGAAAAGCTGAAGCCGAAGTTGAAGCAAATAATATAAATCCCATGACAGTATGGGATCAAGGAAAAAGGCCCAATCTGACAATCACAACTCTTTCGTCAATAAAACAATTATAAGCACACACAAGAAAATTATTCTACCATTCGCCTGCAACTAATTAAGTACTGCGACAGATCAACAGTGACGGATTACGGTTACCTGCTCGATATCGACGCCCCCCTTTGGCGAATACACACAAATGGGTCCTTCGTGATCCTTCTGACGTGCCATTAAAAAGGCCAAGTATGTTTCCTTAGCGATATCCAGAGCTTCCGCAATCATCACGCGCTGCACTTTGACGCCGTCCTCCGGTGTCTGATGGGTAACCAGCTTGTACCCCAGCATTTTGCTCACAAAGTCCGCTACTTGCTTCGAGTCTTTGGTCAGCTTGACTCCTGCAACCAAAATCCGTTCTCCGCGGTGTGCAATGAAAAGTTGATTGATGATGGTAGTTTTTAAAATGTTACAGTCGAGCTATACCTCCTTTTAAGCCGCTTTCTTTGAAATGTCCTTTGCCTCGTCCGCCGGCCAAGATCTGCGCTTTGATGACATACTCGTTAACTTTTCCGCACTGCTTATTCAGCCCCTGCACGGCTTTATCTACATCCCCTTTATTTTCCACAATCTGGAAACGTTGGATGTTGATACCGTAATCCTGCATCAGCTGTTTGCTCTGGTATTCCTGCAAGCTGAGATGACGACACTGATATGCAGGGGAGAATACAGACGTCAAACGGGAGGAACTGCGCAATATGCGAAGGGTCGAGGCTGCCATTTTACTGCTTCCAACGGAAAACACGTTTGCAAGGTGGCGTTCTTTATAGAATAGCAGACTAGGACAACTAAAATCTGGAATACGTTTTTGAAATGCAGGTTAGCAAACTACAGCAGAACCACCTAACACCGATTGGCACACCTGGCGAAAACCCTGGCATCGAAGCAATGTGCTACAGCATACCGTATCAACTACCAAGTACCGATACGGCAAGTTAATTTTGGCTGCGTGAAAAATGGCAACTACTCCCATGGGGTGGTTGCTATTGAGCATGTTTTGAAAAGGTTGTGGCACCCCTTTGGTTGAAATTCGAAATCTGCGGTTGTATCCAGTTTTTATAGCGACAAAAACATTCAAGTCTCTGGAGTCATGATGACTTTAAACCTCGAGTTTTAATAGGCAATATTCAATAGCAGTTTTTGGTTGTTCTTGGCTCCCACATTACACAGGCAATGAGCTGGATACCTTTCAGCGATGGAAAGTTGTGGGTTTGTTACCTGTTTGGAGTATACATATAGGCTTGGACCGAATGGTCAGTCCATGGCTACTCGAGTAGACGCCAAAGAGTCCCAGGAAGCTACTCAACTGTGCGAGTATATAATTTACACAATTGAAGGTGCACTACCGTGAAAAATTGGAAATGGTAGCCGAGGTGGGTATCACGGATATAGTGATGTTATAATCGACCGAAGCGAAGCGAAGGTCCTCAAGAAAACGGGATTTTTGCCGGTCACGTCGGTCACGCCTTCATATTTCAGACAAAATTCATAAGAGCGAAATAATATTGAAAACTATATTTAATGAATACAAAAAATAATAAATGAAAATGGGAAATTTAAAAAAAGATGAACCTTCTAGAGTATTTATTTAATTTTAATGTTTCCCGCTTCGCTTCGGTCTTTCAGTACTACTGTTAATCAACAGCGATCTGTATTATACCGCTCTACAACCTCTACTATAAATATAGATATACAGCAATTCCATTACAAGCTAGGGTTTATATGTTGTAAAATTAATAAATTATAAGTGCACTTTTAGTTTAGAACCACTATCAATAACCCGGTGCATAGCTTAAGAATGGCGGCAGCGCTTACTTTTACTTTAATTTATTTATTTAATCCAGCTAGATACTGTATCGAAGCTACGAGTATCTGTACCAATGACAATGATTGTGCGGTAGAGTGTAGACTATAGTATTGTATCAAATTTTACTGCTATAAGAGAACAGGATCGGAACTGCATGAACTGCATCAGCATGATTCGTTTTTAATTATCAAATTTATTGCCCAGAATTTGCTTCGTTAAAATATACTGGATTCCGTTATGCTTTACGGTATGGCGTTATGGTTTTTCTGTGGTTTAACTGTCATCCATCTGTCAACATTTCCAGAATTAACTAGTGTGTTTATAATTTTTGTTGGGTCGGGGTGGCTCATCAGAAGTGCACTGATGTTTTCCCGGCTTCTGCCAGCGCTGAGCAGTCTCTGCTTAAAGACTACTTGGACTAGCAAATAGAATCGGGAAATCAAAACTCGTATAAGATCATCGACTTTGGTTCATTATGCCTCCTATAAGTCTGGTGTAACATGGACGCCATTTAACATTTTTTCTTATACTGTACTTATTGTACTTGTTGTTACTGTTAGTACATACGTTGCACGGCCTTTCGAATTTACAAAATTTAATGGTGTTGCAAATTGCGGGTATTTAGTATTTTCTAATGTGAATGTACTTCTGTTTTTTGACAATTGATGGGTCCAAACGGTCATCTCTTTTTTATATCGGCGGTACAATGCAATCTCTCCTCATATTATTATTTTTGTCAACGCTCCACCTATCATTAGCACTTCCACCAGCGCTGAATATTGGTCAGAATATGATAGTTACTTACGTAGTTCTAAAAGGACAAATGAATTTCGTTTTAAAGGCTATATAGGCAAATGATGTATCTCCGATATCATCCACATTTTATTATGCGGTATATTTGTACTTTACATTGTTAGCAATGTTTATTACAGCTGGAATATTCGACAAAAAGGCCGATTCACTTCAGGCCTACAACGCCTTCAAATATGCTATCCAGACGCTGAATGATGGCCGAAAGGCGGCAGCGCTGCCTAACACTAAGTTTGTGTCCAAGGACATTCGGGAATTTCAAGCCGATTTGATAACTGGACCATCCCAAAGTAGGTGCGGACTTGATTAATGGCATGCAACCGGATGTTTATGAGAAAAAATATCTCCAAATAATGAGTAAAATCTTCTTATTTGGTACTTTTTATAGTCTGCGAACTACTACGCGAAAAAATTGCGGCAATTTTTGGACCTCAACGCCGATTATCTACGGCGCTCGTCCAGTCGATTTCCAACAGCACCAGTGTACCACATTTCAGCGTACGTTATTCGCCGTCGGAAAATCTGAATTCCAAAATGACCATTAACATGTACCCGGATCACTGGACCGTTTCCAAAGCTTTGGTGGATTTGATTGGCTATTTTAATTGGACAACATTTGCTCTTGTTTATGATGATGCCGAAAGTGAGTATATTATTAGAATCCTAACTAAAGATCAACGCACGCGATTAAGGTTTCGTCGTTTTGGATTATACTCTGTATGTTCCTGTATAGAGTTGCTAACGTTTTCATGCAGCTTTATACGTCTGCATAGGCAGCACCAATATTATTAATACAAAGTTTCATTAGTTATGTTATATTGTTTTTTTGTATAAAAATCTCTGTTATCAAGCTCATAATGCAATATTGTCTTTTAGGTTTGATTAGAGCGAGTGGTATATTAAACGGAATGTATGACCTTAAACCAAAGTTGTACAAACTCAATGCAAGCAACATTTCGGCTACCCTTATGGACGTTAAAGCCAGCGGCATATCGTTTTTCGTGTTGGATCTGCCGGCCAAGCAGGCTTTGCAGGTTTTGCGGGCAGCTAAAACACTGGATATGGTGGACTACTATTTTCACTACATCTTGACTGCATCGGTACCTGAAAGGGAAAAAATAAATTACAAACTAAAGTTGGACGATGTTCTTTGCAGGACATTCACCTGCTGGATTTGAACGATATCTTTTCGACGCACGTAAATATTACCGCTCTACAGTTAGTAGATTTTGACGATATTCATGTGGCTAAAGCTGCAAAAGCTTGGGGAGCGCCTTTGATGGAAGGACAATACGGGAAAATAGGTGTAACGGTAAAAGTTTCTAAAGATAAGTGTGACGATGTATATCCACACATGGCGGGAAAAAAACAACAGTAACTACAACAATTACTGCTAGCGGTGTAGAAGTTTGTACATAGTACATACCGCATTTTGTGATAGATGCTTGTACGCTTTATACTTATTGCAGTCATAACATTTTTTCTTTGAATTTGTTGTATGTCTTACGCAGCTATATTAATTATTGTATGTATGTTTAATTTGTTGTAGCTCTTAATACTGCGTACGTCACAGAGTGAATAATTTCACAGTTGTTGCATTTTATATTGCTTATCTGTATGTACATAATTTTCCCAGACTGAAGCGGCTTTGTTACACGATGCCGTTATGGTGTTTGCCAAAGCATTAAGGAAACTGGATGCTGTTGTCGATGTGACACCTGCCTCCGTAAATTGCGATGACGCACGGCCATGGATTCAGGGAGGAGAAATATACAACCAAATCCTAACAGTACGGAGATTGTGGTTACTTCATAAAATGGCAGGAAAAATATTTATACAACAAAAAGAACTACTTACTGTTGCAGTTGCGTTCCGCATACACAACTAAATCTGATAATTCACAATCTCGTAATGCGCAGCGCTCCTTTCCAGCAAGTGAATTTCTTTGTCTGACTTCAATGACCTAGATATACGGCCTTACAATAGCGTGCATACGATTTTCTATGGAAGTAGAAATTTTCAAACAAATTTAGCTATGAAAATTTGTTTCAGTTTCAAACAAATTTCCTATGTAATTTTTTCAAACAAATTTAACTTTTGTGTTTCGGAAAAATTATTTATACATGGATAACTATTGCAGTGTCGATGCTTAATATCTTTATGTTTAGACTAAAATAAAGGGACTGTCAGGTGACGTGATGTTCGAAAGCAGCGGCCTAAGGTCATCGGTACGGTTGCACATAGTGGAGCCACTTCGATACGGACTGCAGAAGGTGCAAACCATCCCAGTTCCATGGTTAAAAATAAAATCGAAACATTTGAAAAGAAGCTAATATGTAAGGGTTAACAAATTTGGTTAATTTATTTGAGATTTATAACAGGTTGGCCAATGGACAGCCGAGCAAGGTGTCCGCATCATGTTCAACTACACAGGGCAGCGGGAGTTCGTTCAAAGTTCAATCAAGAATAAAGTCCTGAAAGTGCTCACTAAACTGGTACTGTATCCCACTGTAAAATGATTTCAAAAGAGTAATGCTATTTTTTTTATCAAACGAAAAGGAACGCCCCTACGTTATGGAAATGGCCAATGCATCCTTATTAAGCGGAAATAAGCGTTACCGTGGTTTTTGCGTGGACATGCTGGATAATATCAGCCGCACACTGAATTTCTCATATGAACTCATTGTCAGCAACCTTCCCTACGGAGATCAAGATCCGGTCACTAAGGAATGGAATGGCCTAATTCGGGAACTAATCGACAAAAGGGGCGACATGGTACTAGGCGCCATGACCATTACGACCGAACGCGAGGAGGTCGTCGACTTTTCTCAGCCGTTTTTATATCTCGGGGTGCGGATATTGTTGAGAAAGCCGGAGGGAAGCCCCAAAACTTTGTTCTCTTTCCTCGTACCGCTCAGTCTGGAGGTCTGGATCTACATATTGATAGCATACATCGCCACGTCCGGGGTGATGTTCATCATTGGTCGCTTTAGTCCCTATGAGTGGTATAATCCCAATCCCTGCGTGGAGGAAGCCGGAGTGGTGGAAAATCAGTTCTCTATTTTTAATGCCATGTGGTTCACTATTGGATCGCTTATGCAAGAAGGGACAGAAGTAGCCCCGCGGGCCATATCGACCAGATTTTTGGCTGGAATCTGGTGGTTCTTTACCATGGTACAAAGTCCTAAGAATCGATTAATTTTATTTTATGTTTTGCTTGCATTTCATTTGCGAATGCGCGTAAGGGTCTACAAATTTAAACAACTCCGGTGCTGTTCATAGGTCATGGTCAGCAGCTACACAGCTAATCTAGCTGCATATCTAACGGCCGAGCGAATGAAGCTTCCCATTGAAAACGCCCATGACCTGGTAAAACAAAATCAAATTAAGTACGGCTGTTTGGAGGGTGGAGCCACCTGTAACTTCTTCAAGGTACAAAGACTGCACTACAATACTGCGAGCGTAATGGTGGACTTCCGGTAGTTGTGCAGCAACCTTTATGTATTTCGAATATGTACTATATACAGTACAATACATAAGTACCCTGTGATGTATCTTTGTGGCAACCTAATTACAAATGGAGCTTTCCCCTGTTCTTTGTAGAATTCCGTATATCCAGATTACGTACGTATGTGGGACGCTATCAAGGCTGATCCCAAGAATAATTTGGTGCAATCCCATGATGAGGGTATCGCCAAAGTAAAAAAGCCAGAGGGAATGAAAGGATACGCATACTTAATGGAGTCTATTACACTCGATTACATCACCTCTCGAGACTGCAACTTGACGGGGATCGGTAATCCTTTGGACACTAAAGGCTACGGAGTCGCATTTCCCAAAAGTAAACAAGGCATTTTTTAGTGATTGTAATCCGTTACCTTTTACGCACCGGCTGACTTAAAGGCAAAACCTGCAAAATGCTCGTACTACTGATTGCAACTAGTTGTTCCTTGCAGTCGAGCCAGTGACCGTTCGTTTTGTAGCTTGGTCATGCTGCCGCTGCGTTGGCTATGTATATCGTCAGTAATTCATATACACTAGCATACCTAGTTAATTATAATATTATTATTATTGGGTAATGCGTTTTGTAATTGTGAAAACGGGTGAGCAGCGTATTTTTACGGGTTTTTTTACGGGCACTAGCTGGAATGCTTTTGTGACAGATTCGCCATTTCGGGAGGAAATATCGGTAATTATTCTGACCCAGCAAGATAAAGGATATCTGGAAGAGTTCCGGATTAAATGGTGGAAACAAGAGGATGGCGGGGACACCTGTCACGAAGCGGCACCTTTATCCGGCACCAGCGCAATGGGACTGGACATGGTGGGCGGTGTCTTCGTCGTTGTTCTACTTGGTGTTCTGCTTGGCATAGTGGTGGCAGTACTTGAATTTGTTTGGAAAGCCAAAAAAAATCCAGATGAATACAAGGTATGCGCTGCTTATACGTTACGCTACTCTGTTTATTCTTACTCATAGTGCTCTTGTGTGCACTGTTGATGGATATTAGGTTTCTCGAAATCCATACTGCTGTCCTCAAGAGAATAGTTTGTGTTTACGGTTTGTATTGTCAGCAAACAACATATTACAATAGTTACTTAAGTTACAGTTACTCGGCGATCGTCACGTGAAAACCATAGCATATTTCTTTAAAATTATTGTCTGTAAACATTTTGACAGTATATTACTATAAATTTGCTGACAACAGGAGCCAATCATGAAGGAGGCCTTCAAATCCATTGCTGAGGCCATACGTTCTCCACACGCTCGAGCTAAGACACTTCTACGTGCCGCGACCCCGGGACAGCTTCGGGAAGAAGTTATGTCGGCCGCAGTCCCTATGCTGCCTAACAGACGAAATGCAGTAATATAATGAAACTGTGTCCAAAACGGATAATTAACGTTGCCACCTGTTTTTAAAATGACTGTGGCCTGTGAGATTGTTGTTCATGCGCTCCTGTTCATGCATAAGGTCAATATCTAATACGATGACCAAAAAGCGTGCATACAAAATACAGGTATGAGTACTGTGAAATGAATACTGCGTTCACCTTTTGGATTTACGTAAAATGGCTTGACGGCGTAATTAAAAATTAGTAGACTTTAATATGCAAAGCGAATAATACTTAACACATAGTAATACAAACATTAGACATTATAACTCGCGATCGCTGACAATTAAGCAAAATATAAGAAAAATTTAAATCAGTCTCGATCTCATCCTCTTCGGAACTGGTTCAGCGCATAGTTGCAAAACCAATTTTATCACAATGTTTATTGCAGTGTCGTTATATCAGCTGAGCTATGCTGTTCAGACGGTTCGTCTTCCCGGCTGCTATCACAGAGTATTCGGGAGTCATCATATGAATATTGTCGGTAGTCTTTGTCTCGGCACAGCATAAACAGGTTCCAGTACAGGCTTTCCTCAGAGAACGCCGGAAATTTTTGGACATAAATCCGTAAATAACGGGATTAAAGCAGCAGTGTGCGTAAGGGAGCAGTTTGACGACATACTTCGTCACATAGGCCATGTCTCCGATCGGTATTAACCCGTACATTCTCAACACATCAAATATGACCTAAACGCAATAAATCAGTACCACACTTCTGCTAAAAACAATTTTGAGTCTGGAGTCTGGACGACACTTACTGCTGGTCCATAGCCGATTAAGAAAGCAAAATTGACAACCAGCAGCATTTTGATCACCTGCAAATAATGCAGACTTTCGGGTCATACGCACAGCATATTTTTTTTATTTACTGCGTAGCACGAAGAGTAACACGCCGCTCTCGGTGTTAATCCGATTTTTCACTGCAAATTTGCGATAATGCCAAACACTTACGTCACCTATGTACAGAGTACTTAAGATTTGTTTCGACAAAATTTTATAAGATTCTACGTGCTCGTACGGTATTACAGTATGTCGTCTATTAACGTTCCCACACTTCTATGGTACAAACTACAAACACGCAGACAGAAAACAGCTGTTTTGGGATCCCTTCATTAACCATAAATACAACACATAAAGAGGCAACCGCCTTATTAGTAGTCTCAACGTCTCTAGCGCCAGCACTGACTTTCAAGGGACACGTTATTTGGCTGCGATAAAATGATTTATCTTGGTACCCATCTCTAATAAGGAAAGAGAATTTAACTACGAAAACGAAACTGTACCTGCCGCCTTCCGGCTTTGAGGTCGGTACTGGAGTTGGGGTGTTTTTGCGCATTGTAGCTAGTCGGAGCAGATACATTGGTTTCACTGTGACGTTGCAGTTGTGTCCTGCTGTCCTGCTGCTTCCAGTTGGTCACCAGTCGAATCACCTTTCCACTGCGCTTTCCATTTGAATGTTTTGGGATTTCCGTATACGCCAGGCTGTCTGTCCTGCTGCGTCGGTTCTTGCCAACCGGAAATGACTCGTTTGCCGTATCGCCTGTTAGTGATTGGTATCTGATCATGTGTCTGTTTGTTGCCGGCACATCCAGTAACGTGTCGTTATCCACGTTTCTGTCCCTAATTGATACTGGCATTAATGATTTTGAAACGTTTTCCAATGAACCACTTAAGCTTAAGTCACTGGATGAGATTCGTGCAATTTTTGGGACACGCAGCAATGGTCTACAAGGTTAAACACCACGGTTAAGAACAATTTCTGCGCATGCATAGAATTCCACAAACGTACTTCTTTACATAAATGTTCACAACTACTCGCAACTGTCAACTTAAAGCTTTTGTGGTATGCCAATCGAAATACTTCGAGCAGTTTATGTTGTACCACAACATAAGAGATTCTTAAAGATTCTTATTATTGATGTTAGGAGTAATTTTAAAATACAAAGAATTTTTTCGGTCGTACTTTGGGGGTGATCCATTTCCGGTACGGTGGCCAGTATGAGAAACAAGACTGCTGTTTGCCGTACTGCTCCATAGCACTCGTATCTACAAAAAGATAAAATTAATGAACTGTTTTGAGATAAAAATTTACGGGAAGTAGAGTTTGCTCATTCATGGCATAAATAAGCGACAATGATTTCACATAAAGCCGGATTAGTACCATTCGGCCATAGCAGAAACAGTGCATTGCCAATGGAAGAATGAATAGCAGGAGTAGCCGGTACAATGACATAATGTCTTCGAAATGGACTTCTTCGCATAATTGATGAATTACCACCGTTTCCGCAAGAAGACGGGAATCATTAGTGAACTTCCCGTAATAGAACGGTTCCACTTCCTGCATATTACAACGATCAAACTCATTACTGTTCAACAGTATCTAACAAAATGTAAATATTTGCGTATTTATGCAGATAAGAAACGAAATAACACACGGCGGGGTCTTTAAGGCTCAGCAGTCAGCACCAATTACATTATTAATTTATTCGCACTTCTTACACGTCTTATTATGGCGTTTTCGAAAACATAGCGAGTAAATTTTATGCGCCGTACGATCCTTTTCGCGTCGTTTAAGGTATTATTTCGCCATTATTTAGTACTATTACTATTTTATGTTTTTATATATAAGTTCCTGCTTAATGCTCTAAACTTAAATACCATACAAACTGCTGCAAAACAGGTGAACCGTACCCAAGTATACAATGAAGGAGACGCTAAGAAAATGGACAACACCCACACGGCAAATAAGGTGCGTTTGCAGCTTTTGACTGTCGAAAGCTGTCGGGATTTCATCGGATAGACGATAACCAGATACCTGCAAAATTGAAGACAAGGGAAATTTTAAAGGCATACGCTGATTTGTGGATTTTAAAGACAAAGCAGGATTATTGGTAGTGCACCGTGCGAAACTTATACCGCACATGTAATCGCAATCATTGTTTTACAATAAAGCCTCTTTATACTGCAAAAGGATTGCAGTTTTGGAATTACTACTGTACTAAAACTACTGATTCGTGAAAATAATTACAGCCGACAGTGTATTTATTGTGGTACATCATGGTTAGCGGTCATTAATCACAGCTATGCAAAAGCCCATCTTTCAAAACCAAAAGTCTTGTATCTTACAAAAAGTCGTTATGACGTCTGCATAACAACTACCGCTCGTAAATCATGTCAGTTTGATGAAAGTGCGCGTCATAATCGAGTTAAAATTCAAAAACAGGATGACAAACCCAAGCTTGTATTTCGCACTTTTAACCAGCAGGACTTCGACCTTTCACAAGCCATAACACCTGAATGAGAATCTTGCAAATTTTTTATCACAGCACGTTATCTTTTTAAAAATAGGTACTGAAAACTTTAATTCGTTTGATGCTTCTTGCATTCACGGTAGGTTAACAACACTAAGGTACACACGAATCAGATTAATGTATTAAGACTGAAATAAAACAACCAAATTCTCCATTTACCAATTAATCATTTAATCATTAATCATTGATCATTTTTAAAAATGATTAATGAATATTAGTTCACACTTGCGCGAGCTTTCATATTTCAAATCGATAACTACAAACAGTTTTACCATAAATTTTTAACATAAAATTTTTCTCTACATCCACAGAGTTTCTATACGTCAAAAAAAACCTTCCTTGCGTGCCGTCGTTACTGAGTTCGTACCTCTCCATCGTTATAGCCATGAGATTGAGAACAGTAGAAAAGGCGATTAGTAACCGGCAAAACGCTACCAGTTTGCACGACAGATTTCCGCCTTCGACTGTGCGAACAAAATAAGAGGCAACATCCACTGGAGCAGACAACAGTAGCAGGATATCAGCAACTGCCAAGCTATAATAATCCATGGTCAGTTAAAGTCAGATAAATGGGATTTACGCGTGCACATAATTGTTGTTGATGGGTTGCATGTATGTTAATAACGATCGAATGTCGCATCGATAGTGGTAAGTACATCGCGCCATGCATTATTTGTTATACATTATACACTCGCTGGTCGGTAAAAAACGCATACGTCTAAAAAAGTATTCCTTATCTACTGTAAATAAACGTTCCCTTACTTTCCAGAGCAAATTAGAAAATATACTCCATATCTTCTGCGAAAATCTTTGGAATATTTAATTACAGTACCTGACTAAAAACATGGCTGTCACTGTTCTGCTGCCGCGGTTACGCTGCATAGCCCAAATTACTAAGAGGTTGCCGATGCTTCCAAGAATAAAACACATGGAATATACAAAAATAATCGGCACAAAATGGGCATCGAAGATCCACGGTTTTTTCATGACCTCAGGGTCATCGTAAGGAATCACATCATGTGGAAAGACCTTTCCGTATTCATCATAAACTACGGTCGATCCGGTGTAATCCATAATACAGCACGCGTGGTTTACGGTGACTGATTATGTTTGAAATTTTCTAAAACACTGCTCGGATGAAGTGCGGATAATCCGTGTGCCGACTGACAAAAAAATTCGATAGACTCCGGGTTTTTGGCAATCCAGCGACACATCTATATGACAGCTAATACAACGGTTGATAACAATTGTACAGCTGCGCACAACTCAAAGGCCACGATTAGTGACAGGTCCGCAGACTGTGCACATCCAGCATACAACATGTTTCAGATGCGTCCATGCGGGCAGATGAAAATCTGATCCAGCGGAATGTTTTTAGGGAAATGAAGTCTTGTGTTGCATCCAAATATGCGGCTGAGTGTCTCTATGTTCCCAAGTATGCTGAGCAATATTGACAAAACCAAAAGAGCGCTTCGCTGAAAACATACGCACGAAATGACAGGGATAAGCATACGTATCAATGATCAGGAGCTAGCTTAATTCATGCTGCGCGCTGCACAGAGCAATATTGGCGTTTATGCGTTATGAGAGAGAATTACCAGCAATTTCTAAAGAAAACAATAAACATGCGCCCCGACCGGAAGTGCTAAACGATGAAACATCGCCGGGTGTTATTTGCGGCGTGGGAGTCATATACGGATACAAAAATACGATGCAGCAACTGTGAGCAACAAATCATCACAATCCAGGAAGCAGCGCGGCACAAATGCTGCTCGGAGTATTTAACTATGATTGCACGGGCATTCAGGAAAAACACAACAATAAATAAGCATATAAGGCTTGCGTAGATTTATTTGCATCACAATACACTGGGAGACAGTGGAGTGCAAATCTTATGCGTAGGAAATACCGTTAAGATGTAATACTGGAACCATCACAAGCAGATGACGTCAATCGTATCGTCGGTGTAGTGTAACTCCCTATCACAGACCCAGAACAAGGAACACTAATTCCCGGCTACTGATTTATCTGCTGATATATCCCTAGGGTCATGATCACTGTCCCGGCACAGATCCATCTCACTTTGGGCTTATATTGCGCGCGACTACCGTTACAGTTCAACATGGCCATTCAGAAGAAATTGTTCTTTTGTGGTGTCGGCCTACTGGCTTACGGCAAAACAATTTATTTTTAACAGAACCACTTCGCAGGTATTCTAACCGCGCGAGACCCAGAGACTGGTCACGTGGATCTCTTTGTGTCAATCTAAAGAACGACGATGGGTATTTCTTCGGGCGTACTGACTGGCGACTGCAAGTGAATAACGGATAGCTGCCATAATACGAGTATTAACGATCAAATGTGGAAGTACTGTAATTGAAAACCGCTAGCCAAACCTACCATAAGGTCATATGTTTATCTATGGCTCTGTACAGAGCGTACATCGCGATGACCGATGCAGTCGTCTGCAGCTTTTTTAGGCAACTTTCGGTTTTGTTGTTATGAGGTATGTTACCGTAATTTAAGGGTACTTACGATTTTGCCGTTTTGGGCACATAAAGGCATACTGAGACGATTGTGCTTTGTACGTATACTCGTACTCACTGTCAGTAACTGTTACACCTATTATCGCAGCCGGGAAATTCGTGCTTGCTGTTATTTCTAAAATCGCTATTGTATACACCGAAAATAGGTACTTTAAGCGTTGGGAAAATGCATGCAAATTCATTAATGAAATCTCGATGATCTATCGTCACCGCGTCCACAATTTACACGCAAAGACTTCTCTCAGTTCTCTACAAAGCAGAATGTGGATTGTTATTACGTCATGAGTGTTACAATGTTGTTATGCAGCTACAGTACTACTACTGACATATCACACTACATTATAAAAAAATGGTAGAAGTATACAAAAATTGGGAGGCTACGGCTGTCTGTCGATACGAAAACGCAAATACCATACAATTCTGAATTACCGATCGTTGATTTCATATTTTTAATTATTGTTTCATATTATTTAGTAGCTCATATTATAATTTACTCATTTTGTATTGCAAAACCGATTAAGGTTATAAATGACAAAAATCAGCATTACAACAAAAGTCATTTTAGCAGGACTTATTTACTCTTGAAGTTGACTCCTGATAGTCTGATACCAATGGACCATTTAGAAATCAATCTTAGTTCTAGTTTTATCGGTAGCAGAGCAAACACTTATTTCATTTTTTTGTGACTTGGCTACTCTCTAAATATTGAAATGAATATTTAAATTTTTGTTGGCATGTGCCCGGGTTGAAATTATAGTGGTAGCCCCAAGTACCAATACTTCTACTAAGAATAAAGAATATCGAAATTTTGCAGATGATAATTCTGATTAAAAAACTGAAATGCAACCTATTTGTTCAGTCGCTCGTGCACTTACATGTTTACTGAAACCTGAACGTCAGACAATGATAAGTACTGGATACATAAGACTGAAGGTTAAGTCGGCAACGTAGTACATACGGCACAAGTAAAACTTGAACGCTCGGTTTATGACTTTATTCGATAGATACAACTCAACCGAAAATTCAGGAAAAATATCACCGAAACAGCATTAAACCATCAGGCATCACAAATACTGCGCCAGCATCCGCATAAACGCGTGCAAAGAAAACCAGAATAATCAAAAACAGTTTTAAAAAATTTTAATTAGTGTAAATCTGCGCAGGCATATTGTCATTGTGTACTGGCCAACTAGCCGAATAAAATTATCACAGCACGAGACCAAGGACTATAGGCTTATCGTTGTTTCTTGTCTTTCTTCCCTTTCTTCGCTGAGGATTTTCCTTTACTCTTGGACGACTTGCTGGATTTAGCAGGCTTCTTCTTAGCTTCCGCTTTCTGCTTTTTCTGCGACTGCTTCTTTTGAGACTTCTTTTGCGACTTATTCAGAGACTTCTTCTGTGACTTCTTGGGTTGCTCTGTCTCCTCTTCTTCTTCTGCGTCTTCTTCTTCGACTGCAACAAGAAATACTTGTCGTTACGATCTGTCACCTAAACATTCTGACGTATACGTAAAGGAAAACAAAATTCTGAAAAAATCTGGTCAAAGTTAACAGCGTACCTTGTCGTTTGATCACAGTAGTCTGACTACGTCCCAGCACTGTAATACGAGAAAACATTGTACGACATTGCTGCCACAATATGAAAAGACAACATTGACACGAGAAAATCAAGAAAATTTACAAAATTATTACAACAATGGGATCATACATTTACGAAGTCTGTGAACTACTAAGAACCAAAACTGTTTTAATTAATCGTACCTTTCACATCGCGCAGATCCGACGGCGACGAAACATCCAACAAGGGACATAGTTTCTCCAATTTGGTACGCATATTCACGGTGGAAAGGTCGGCAGCTTCTCTGCGCAGTTCACGCTGTAACAGGCGCAGTTCAGCCAAGGAAAGGTCATTCTTGCGCAAAATGTCGCGATGGCTGCGCAGGTCAGAAGAGGAAAGGTCGTTGGCACCTCTGCGTCTCAGCTCACTCAGCAGACACGCATCCGGGGAGGAAATTTCGTCGGACTGGCGCAGCAATTCGCGGCGAATCCGCTGCTCCGGGGAGGAAAATTCATCCTTTCGCAGCAATTCTTCTGTCAGCAACTCATCGTCGTTCAGCTGGTGATGGCAACAGCCAGGCTGGTGAACGTTTCCTTCGTTAAAAAAGATATCTACCTGTTGGGACAAAATAGCAACGGTAATTATGCATTGTACGAATCACTGATCCGTTGTAGAAAACGTTCCATAAGCAACAGGTTAGTTTGTAAATACTTCTCTAGAATAAACTCCAGGAACGATGTGCTCAAAGCCAGTCGAAACGAAGAAAAGGGCAACACACCACGCGAAATACATCTTGGTCACCGTAAAAATATTTCCGGGGTAGCGATAATTGAGGGATGTAGAGATTGATGTGTCTACTGAATGAAATTTTGAAGCTGAAGCAGCATGCCAATGAGCAGAAATGACCGATCACGGGTTTTGATGGTGGATGAGATGGCACGACTGATAAACCGTAGCACCTGTAGTTTGTATAAGATGTACGTGCGTATGTACGGTACTCCCCGCATCTTCGCACTCACTATAAATTTGATGCTTATTTATAATAACAAAATATACTAGTATAAAGGTCGTAACCGCCCTTAGTGCAAGCGAGCGAGCGTGTAAATTTTTCTTGTTGTAAAAGACTCGGTTGGGTAAGACTGCGTCACTGGAACAGAAGTAGTTGAGTCTACTCGTTTTTTGTAGCTGTTGCATATGCTGTGGAAGGCATATCACCAGAGCTGCTCAGATATCAGTTTTTGCCGCCGCTAAGATGCCGATATGATATCATTATTTTTATGCCGTTTGCGGAATTATGCCAATACAATATGTTATTTTTAAATTTTTTTTTTATTTTTGATTCCCTTAAAAAAAGTATAATATTCTTTGAGCTTCGTACTGGTGCATGCTTTCCAAGAAACTAAATTCCGAATTTCGTAAGATGAAATGGTTTCTGGTTATCTGAAAATTGCGTGTAAAAAGATAAAAGATGTATTTTTATAACGCGCAAATTTCTTCTAATTAACTTTTCACGTTAAACTTAATTCCAAAAATTAAAAATTTAAATTTTTTTGGCACTACGCAGGAGGGGGGAGGTTGAGACGCTTGAGCTAACCAAGCCAAAGGCATTTCAGATTTGTGTGTTGGCCAAAAAATATTTTTTGCGGTTACGCTCTCCATTGTAGAGCCGATTGTGACTCGACAGTCGGCGTGATTGACTGGCATGAGTTTACCGCTATCCACCAGTCTGTCTAGGTCTCTCCGTACTCCCGCACGCGACATCTCATTCCGTAATACAGATGATAATGCTGATCTAAATGATAATAACGACCTAGCGGGTCACACAGGAGGACTGCCACACGATCAGAAGTGTCAACGCCAGCCACTGCGACGCGGGCACTACTAATATAAATACCCTATCGCAGATAGCCGTCCATTTCGCACCAGATTCTTTATTTTAGGATACTGGTCGTTGCTTTAAATTTGTAAAGACCTTTATGCAAATCGCCAACAGAGCCGATTTAATGGGTACGTTCAACTTTTACGCTTATATTGGATCAGAAGACTGAGAGCCTGTTCAAGAATCGCAACCCAGGCCATTACCCGTCAAGTACAATCGTTCGCACAGGTTGAATTTCCAAACTTACCGCTTGCAGAGAAAAAAACAAAACATAACATGCTAATTGAAGAGATTTCCCAACGCAACCGCAATCAAGAGCGAAATATGCAAAATGGTTTGGCAGCTCAATTCACTAACCAGACGGCTGTACTAAAACATGGTCCACGTCACTAAACTTCTGGCAACCTTGATTTGCCATTCACGCTGCACCGCAGTCGTTTACTAACCGTAAATCAGTGATTCTCTGCAAAATATTTTAACAGTTCGTAACGGTCTATCAAACCAATTTTTGGTGTTAAATTAAAAACTTAGAAATATTACTTTTCGTGCTGGTGGTCCATGGAAAAGCAGAAAATAAGTTCCGCTTCAGATCTTTAAGTTTTCGCAAGATTGGCAGTTGGCCAGAACTCGATGGCATTGCTTACCTGGAAAGCTGCCGCATCGTATCATTTATTGGCAGAAAAGCCCGTTTTATCGCAAATATCTGACTATGCAGTCACTATTCCGCAACTTCTCGCCTTCTATTTCTGAACTGAATTAATGATTCTCCGCCGGTAGTTAACAACCTAAAAAACTCTTTGTTTTAACTTTTTCAGTTAGTTGTTAGACGCATAAAAGTTTTAGCCATTTAAATCCCAGTATTTTCAAATTCATGGACAGATTGTCTTTTTACAGATAAATTAACACACTGATTTATACAAATCGCGTATGCCGATTTAACCACACAAGATCCGAGGAGCGCCGGCACACATTTCTCTTTTAGAGTTTAATGTTTTCGTAAAGCCTGGTTAGGCTTATTTATTGCGCAAACAATTTATCGGTTCAACACCTTATTTGATGTCTGTTGGCAGCGGCAACGTAGGTAACAATAAAGCAGTAGCGGTTACTAAATGGATGACTTTCTTGGGTAAAGGGTACCATGTTTTTCTATGGTTTTCAGTTTTATTTGGTTGATTTTATTCTGAAGCAAAACAACGGTCGAGTAACTCATACTTACCATGGTTTTGAACATCAAGTGCCCGTTTCCCGCATATGACTATGGCTAGTAATCCACGGTCGTTTTTGGTCTCAGCGTACTAACTCAACTTGACCTGGAGCGAAAAAGTTTTAGTGTTTGGGTATTGATTTGACTAAGCTTACCAGAATCTTCGGTTTACAATAAAGTTCATGGAGCGCGTGATTATCCTCAAAAAATGTCTACAACAATTTCCCCAAAGACTTTAAAAATTAAAAATTTTGTTGAAATTCGTTTCAAAATCAGGAAATTTCACCACTTTACTTACTACGTTGAACCTTATCCCATATACGCAATGCTCGTGAGGGCAAGGCCACGTGATTAAATTTCTGTGAACAGTGGTGTATGTAATTGTAAAGACCTTTGAGGTTGATCTCCTTTCATTTTCCCCGCAAAGAAACATGAACGTTAAACGCTGAGGTTTATATTTTTGTTCTTTTGTTTTCAGATTTATATAAACTGTCAGAAAAGAGCCTGTTTTAAAGTTTGAAATAGGGAGTGGCATCCCAAGGCGAGAAACTTTGATCCAGCAGTCAAATAATTCGTTTTTCATTTGCAAAACTGATATCTAAAATTTAATGCAGAATTTCTTGAGATATTTGTTATATCTATTGAAAAAGGTTTGAAGTAAAAAAAGGAAATGTTTCGTTCTACTTGATGCTTCAGTTGCGCACCCGCTTGGCTTTGGCCATCGGTTTTCCTCGAAACGATAGTTCGTTACCGAATATGATAACGTTAACGGAAAGTTCATCCGTGAAAATTATCTTTTTAATAAAACGGACAATGGAATGCTCTTGTTTTACTTGCTGCACCGCTCGCTTCGAAGCGTTTGCTTTCGGCGCAGATTTGCGTCGCCCTCGACTTCGTATTCGATTTTCGTAGAAATGATGACACGCTACCGTATCATCACAATAACGAAAAGTTCAAGCGGAACTGTAAGAAGAACCTTTTGAGAATAACAGGACAATAGAACCCTCTCGTTTTGCTTGCTGCGCTTGCTCGCGCCGCAGCTCGGCGTCGCCTTTGGCTCCGCCTTCGGTTTCCGGCACCGTGTCATTACGGTTGCGAAAGTTCCAACGAAACAGTAAGAACTTTTTCAGAATAAAAAGCAATAGAATCCTATCGTTTTCCTTGCTGCTCCGCTTGCTGCGCTGCGCCTGCTCGCGTCGCTGTTTGACGTCGCCTTCGGCTCGGCCCTCAGTTCCGCTACCGTATCAAAACGGTAACGAAAAGTTCAAACGGAACTGTAAGAATTGCTTCAGAATACAAAGGCAATAGAATCCCCCGTTTTACTTGCTGCACCGCATGCTGCGCGGCGCTTGCTTAATGCTGACGTCATTAAGAAATGTTTCGCTATGGCAACGTTCTAAAACATATTTCCAACAACTGCTCAAAAGCCTCAGAATCCTTTGGATTTTGCTTAAAAATTTACAAATTTTCGAATGTGCGCTTTTTAAGCGTACCTCTTTAAATAAAGTTATAACTCACAACTTTCGTGAGCGCGAATTTCCGTAGTTAACCTTTGATGAATACCGGTGTTAGTAATTCTAAATCCAATTCAGATAAGTTTTTTTTAGGATTTTTACATCCCTCTTTTGAAGCAATAATCAAATGGTTGTTCGCGGTGCAGCCTGGCGGCGCCCTCAGCTTTGTTATCGAAACGGTCAAGTATTAAAGTACCAGCAACTCATTGGGACAACTGACGATGCTAAAAGTAAGCAGTAACGGTTACGGTGACCCGAAACGGTGACAAGAATGTGCACGGTAATCTACTACGGTAACGGTAGCAGTAACAATATCCCTCCATAGTAATCCGTTAAAGAACGGTTTGCGGGGACGGTAACCCGTTACGCTAAGGATAAATTATCATAGAAATTCAATAATTCACCCGTTGCATAAAAAGTAATCCGTTATGGTAACAGTAATCCCCTGCTATTGAAAGGTAACTGTAATCCCCCGCATTAGTAACGTACTGCGGGTACGGTAATTTTATTGACAGTATTTAGAAATGGTTCCAAGAACTTGCACGACAAAAGTAACCTGTTACGGGACTTGCAAACATAAAAACCCCACCAACAACACCGGGCAAAATGATCGGACAGGGTTCATAAATCGGGCTACCTATACAATTGTACGGCGGACCCCTGAAAAATGAATACGTATTTCCCAAAACGTCGGTTACCAAAACGCCAACCACCCGGGGCCACAAAAAAATCATTCCCGGGTACAAATTTCACGACCACCCGTATATTACTGGGTTCGTCAATACTGACCTAGTTACATTTAACGTTGCGGTTCCCCAAAACTGTTCCTAACTTAAAAAAATTCGGACCGGGTCCAAATTTCCGTACCCCCCATATATTACTACGGCGGGTTCGTCAATAATGACCGGGTTATAATTTGTGTTACGGTTCCCCAAAACTGCAACACCCGGGGCCGCAAAAAAAATCTGGACCGGGTCTAAATTTCCGGACCCCCCGTATATTACTACGGCGGGTTCGTCAATAATGACCCGGTTATGATTTACGTTACGGTTTCTCAAAACTGCACCAACCGGGGGCCGTTAAAAAAATCCGGACCGGGTCCAAATTTCCGGACCCCCCCTTATATTACTACGGCGGGTTCGTCAATAATGACCCGGTTATAATTTACGTTACGGTTCCCCAAAACTGCACCAACCGGGGGCCGTTAAAAAAATCCGGACCGGGTCCAAATTTCCGGACCCCCCCTTATATTACTACGGCGGGTTCGTCAATAATGACCCGGTTATAATTTACGTTACGGTTCCCCAAAACTGCACCAACCGGGGTCCGTTAAAAAAATCCGGACCGGGTCCAAATTTCCGGACCCCCCGTATATTACTACGGCGGGTTCGTCAATAATGACCCGGTTATAATTTACGTTACGGTTCCCCAAAACTGCACCAACCGGGGGCCGTTAAAAAAATCCGGACCGGGTCCAAATTTCCTGACCCCCCGTATATTACTACGGCGGGTTCGTCAATAATGACCCGGTTATAATTTACGTTACGGTTTCTCAAAAAAGCCACCACACGGACCGGTCTAAGCGTTTGTACTGGGTCAAAATTTACGGTCGAACACACATTCCCCCATTGGGTCCGTCAATTATAACCCGGTTAGGTTTTTGATTTTAAACTACCTTCTCACTTGCTTCAGCGGGGGGCTGCGCCCCCCGCACCCCCTGCTTATTGGGGCTCCGCCCCAAACCCCGGCCTGGACCCCGGGAACCCGGTTCGCCCCGTTACACACTTTAAATTAAAAATGCTTCGCTCGCTCGCTTGAATATGGAGAACAGCGTCATTCACGTACGTACAATACTACTATAAACCGCTCATTCGTGTACTTCCGTTTTGTATTCTCTCAAGTACTGTAAGTCAAGTTCAACTGCTCAATCAACCAATGAACGGTACGCAGTATCCGAACTTCCAACAAACCCATCACGTACGAACTTCGCGTTCATACATCCCGATTTATTAATTAGTTCACAAAAAAACAAAACATATTGTACAACTCCACCACAGGTCCAATCAACGTTTGCCTTATTTATCTCATACTTCCAAGGTATCACTTTAAAGCTTTCGCACAAGGCAGACAGTAGTAGAATACAATTTCAATAATTACGCGAAAGCGCATGCTCCAGACTGTATCCTTTGGTTCGCACCATGAAATTCACTACAGGATGAATTCCTGCATCACGTCCCCACGTGTCTGAAAATGTACCCATTATTAATGAGCATTCTCAGTTTCGCGTGCAATCAGGGTTACTATCAGATACGTCACGTTTAATGGACTCACCTTCTTCTATTTCTTCACACATCCAATGAATTTTCTGATCCACGTATTGGGCAAATAATGTGGCCAACTGCATCTACAACAGGAATGCAGTGAGCAAACTGAGAAATGTATCAGCTAGCACCTTATGGTTAGTTATTCCATCATAAAATGACAAAATGACAATACGTACTTCCAATTCAGCGTTTTTTATCCCCAGACAGTAGGAACGAGATGCACGGCCCAAGGCAGCAAAACACGCATAAACCAAAGTTACCGCTTCCGAAATTCTTCGCAAATGCATTTGCTGGTGTATTAGCTCCTTAAAATCATGAAAACTGTTTTGCACCACGATTATGGCCTCGGAATGCACTAAGTCAACACTTTCAAATTTTATAAATTTCATTGCATCCTTATATCTTCCAATTATAACTTCGAACCTCGCACACTTACTTTGTGATGTCTAAGCAGTAAATTTTCGATGTTCAAATGCAAACGATTGCAGCAGTCCTCCAGGTGAATTGCTGTATGCTAAAGATTAAACGGCCGATGTTTAAAACTGCACAGCACTGCCAACAGTACATACCAACAACAATTTTTCTAACGTATGCCACAAGAGTTCTCTCGAAAACGAAAGCACTGTTTTGTTTCGGCGCACCTGAAAAGTCGGATGAAGATAATCCTCCAAAAACACTGTCCTTTTCCTGACTTTCCGTTGGGAAGTAAATTCGGATTTCATATTAAACTTGAAAGCATACCACGGGTTTCTTTTAGGATTGTTAATTTTACTAAAAATTGAGAAACACGGGTAACAAAAGTCTTAGCAAACCGCGATATGGTTTTACACAAAGACGATGGATGTACTTATTGTCCAGAATTTCAAAAAGAAATGAAATACTGCCCACACTCACTTCACATGGTCCATCAACTGCATTCCGGCGAACTGGAAACCAGAGAGTGCGATAAACAAGCGCGCAACATCCGTCCCACCCTGGAGAAAGAGTCGATCTACCGTAGCAGATGATCCCGTCAAACTACAACCGTTTTCCCATACTTACGTCAAGCTGACTAAGCGTTAAGAAGTCTCTTAAGGCTAACTCGAGATAAGAATTTGTCGTCACACCTTCAGCTCCATAAATCTGCATGATGTTGGTTATGCATTGTGGCACAATATTTGCCGCAAGTACCTAAAAACATTCATATTTATATTTTCAAAATCTCTGCAACAGGACTGAGAAAAATCGAAAGCAAAACCATACCCGCACAGCTGCAGCTTCCATATCAAATTCCGGCTTAACGGTTTGGTCCATCAATAAGGATGTCATATACGTCACACTTTCCAAAGCATAGGTCAAAAAGGTCGTTTCCACGAGCTTTTCCTGGAGCAGGAAAAAAGAGTTTACAAGCCACGCACAAAATATCATTACAAATTTCAGAAGCGCTCACGCATGCTTACCCTCATCATATGAAATTCTGTCAGATGACGGTTAAATAATTTGCGGTGTACCATATGCTGTGTGGCACCATCTACAACAAAAGCAGTACCAGTTATAAAAAAACGCATGTAGTAAGCCGTTGTTGTGAGAAGTGAAAGCAATACCAAAATCTGACACCATGCGGTGCCTTTACCGCTACCCCAAAGTAAGTGCAAAAACAATCGGTATATTACGAGTGAGAAGAATCGCAATTACGAATTAGTCAGTCAGTATTCACCAATCATTTTTCGCAGCAATGGAAGGCAAATGGCTCCGATGACATGCCTTTGACTGGCCACGGCATCCATAGCAATCTGTACATTTTAAAATGATATGGACACAGGACAATACAGTTTTTATGCTACTTGACTTCCTTCCTTCGGTTGCAAAAAGAAAATAGCACATGTAAAATGAGTGTTTTGAAGATGCAGAATTACTACTGCAACTGTAATTGCAGTTTAACTGTGTTAACTTAAGTATGGGCCTAGCATTACAAATACAAAACAACGATTGTACAATACATCATAGTAACCTTACTGAAAAGCCCGCACCAACTTGTCCAACTAAGGAGTCCAGACTAACTGCCACGTCATTAAAATGCACTTCCGATACTACAAAAATATTCAAGCATAGCATTATTTAAGTAGACCGCTTTCAGGTGCGTGGTCCATCGTCTTCACTTTCCTGACTATCCGTATTAAGGCCGTATACATAACGAACATTAAAACAAATAACATTTACTGTTTTCTGCAATTAAGTAACATTTGGAATAACCTTCCTTTCATGTAGGGAAACAGCAACGCGCTATGTATCTGTAGCTACGGTGTTATAATAGGCAAATAACAATACCTTGCAAGCCGCGAAGACCAATAAAATCAACAGGATCCTGGACGGATATTCCTGGCGCCTTTTTTGGTATGAGAAGAACTGACATGCTGCCTTGTTTGGCTTGCATCTAAGAAAACTCCTTACTGCCGTTCCCACAAATCAAATCACAAAAAAATATGTACCATTTGAAACTGTTCCGTTGGGTCTTTTACTTCAATGTTCAGGCCGGTTCCTTCGTGTTTCGCCACAATCAAAAAATAATTCGTTTTGTGAGCATTGATAACCCAGCTTTTCTTGCCATTAATTATATAGCCGCGATTGTCAGGACCCATTCGAACACTACACTGCATGTTGGCGACATCTGATCCGCTGCAAACTAAAAGTTTTTGCAGAAGAGGATAATTTTCGTACTAATTATCATTATACCTTTCAGCCTCCGCTATTCCGACCGAAAACGTGGCATCACCCTTCGCAACTTTTGGTAAATAAAAATTCTTTTGCTCCTCAGTGCCATATTTTGAGATAATCTGGAATTAATGATAGCACTACATAACATGCTGGCAGACTGCTAAATCCTCTACTAACCACTAACTCAGTATGGTCAAGCATTAAAACTTTCAAATACCGGGAAAGATATTATTCATGTGCAATAATATACTACCGTAAATTATAAAACACTACTGTATATTTAAACATCATTCACAATATTTGTTTTATCAACCGTGTTTTTTTTCAGTTCTGATAACGATTACCCGACTGGCCCAACTGCCTTGATGATACGCCAAGACTCCTAGAGAAATATTCCCATTCAAGCTCAGTGACTCCACCATTCTCGTATAGCCCGTAACGTCCAAATCGTTTCCATCTATCGATTAAAAGACTACGACTAAAGGAGCAGAGTACAGAAAAATACACCAACGGGAAAAAAACAAACATCCACTCACCATGAGTGCGGGGAATGGTGTGCACAAATGCGCCTGAATTACTCAAGGCAGCAATCAGATCAGCAGGGATGGTTTCATTAAAATCAATGGTTCCTGGATCAACTGTATAAAACATTTCGCGTAAATCTGAAGAGCGGTGCGAGCCCACAACATGCACACCTTATGGCACGAACGACTCATTCACGCACCATCAGATTTCATTTTGTTGATAACCGGTTCGCACTGGTCTCGCAGGGTATTCAGCTGCTCCAGATCCAATTGCGGATACTCCAAATATGTCTACAAATACATGCGTTCAATAAAAAATCTCCACAACAAAACACTGCCCTTACCGGGTCAATTTGCTTCACGAAGAGGTATTTAATAAACGGCGCACGATCTTTCTTTGGCCGTTCTAGGTACTCTCGTGTTTTTTTCCGGATTAATTCAAATTCATCGCCTTTAGTGGCTTGATTTTGTATGCCAACGACAGCAGCGGGGTCAACAGTAACCTGACATCGTGAGGGCTGCACAGGCGTAAGAGATGCTCGGGTTGTGCGAGCGAACGGAAGTCCTTTACCCACAGCCAGCGGAGAAGAACCATGAACCCGCGATGTGAGATTGTGCAACGCCGACCTCATGGTCGCTAACACCGTATGCACGGGCGACTGATCCCACAAACTACAACAAGCAATACAGTTATATGGATTCAACCAGCACCTTCGAGCATGTAAACGTTAAAACAAAACGTCAGAAAAATGATTTAACGTCAACAACGTGTAAAATCAACTGTGGTGTACGGCTAACTTTATGCGGTTACAAAACTTCAAATTTTTTTGGAAATAAGGGGAAAACAACAGTGTCAAAACTAACGAAACGGCCGAAGTGGACTATAGTCGTCACTGTCAGGCTCATCAACGTTGTGAATCGTTACATGGGTTCTGCACGACCACCGGTGCGCAGTAACAATAACTGTATAAAAGTGAAAAAAACGAAAGAAGATTTTTACTATGTTTTTGTGACATTGTTTTGGCGTCATTTTTATGAATCGCAAGTTTACTTTATTTAGAAACTGCAGTTTGAAAGTAAAATTGTTTTCAGGTTTATTTACGATTACGGGGTGAGGAAAGCGGAGAAACTGAAGCCAAAATGGGTCGATTATGTCACCTATATGATAAAGAAGAACAGCATCAACTATTACTTCCTTTGGCTTTACCTTTACTCCTCAGTTTATTGATAAATGCAGAGACACGGAATGGCAACGCAGAACTAGAAGGTACTTATGTTCTTACTCCTCCTTTGGTATTTTTTCTTTGTAGTAAATAGAATGCTGGTTGTGGGAATTGAAGAGTCTGTCTTCATTGAAGATAGATGGAAGCTGTAATTAATCTACATTCTACAGCAAGCTGATTTACGATTTGTCGTTTTAACAATTTAAGTATTTAACTTGATAAACCGTTCAGTGTTCACCACAAAATTTACAATTAGCTATGGCTTGACTTGCGTTTGTTTTGCAGTCGCGTTAGTGTAGCGTGGTTTGGAATTTTTTTCACTTTGGAGACACTTGAGCACAGAACACGAACTGGAATGGAAGTGCGCAGGAAAAGCGAATCTCGCAGAAACAGTGTTTTGTATTTATTGTTTGGCAGTTGCTTGGGATGTATACTCATTTTTGGATATGGGCTGATGAACGTGCATGACCAAAGTCCACATTCCAAACGAAAGCCTTCCACGTTCTTCGGTGTGGAGCCAGCAAAGGACGTCAGGAATACCGTGCGAGCTGACAGTTTTGATTTCGGACTGATGGATATTTTGCATGATATTCATACAGGAGAGAAATTATCCGTCAATCAAAATAGCGGGGCTTTCGATACGCAGGAATGCACCATGCAGCAGTGTTTTGATTTCCAACGATGTCGTGGATTGTTTAAATTATTTGTATATCCTGAAGATAAATTCTTGTCGCCGATTTATAAAAATTTACTGGCAGCACTTCGAGCATCAGGTATGTGCGTTAAAAATAATTCTGACCATGGTAATTTTTGTGGTTAGTGGTATTGGATTCCGTATTTTTTGGTCTTTTTTAGTTCTCTGAATAATTTTAATGCCTTTGAATAATTTTATGTTCTCTGAGTAATTTTATTTACTATGTACGCATGCAGAAAGCTTTGTGCTTAAAAATTTTGAAAATCTTCTCTGTGTTCTCATGTTTAGAAAAAATGCGCTGTTTTATTTGTTTTATAATGTTTCAACCTTTATTATAGTCTTTTCTATTCAAATGCTGTAGGCCATTGCCTGATAAAAGAGTATGCATATTAGTATTCTTCCCGGTTAAAATAGCTTTAGGTTTGGATGGCCAGTTCGGTGTAATCGGTGAGCTCGTTGGCGGCAGTGAATGACATGTTTTGAAAATTTAATGCAGGTTACGCAACCGAGAATCCCGAAGAAGCTTGTGTATTCGTGTTGGGTTTGGACACCTTGGATCGGGACCGCCTTAGTGATCAGTACATCACCAACATCGATGAGCGCATTCATCTGGACCCATTAGTTCAGAAATACTGGAATAATGGCCGAAATCACATAATATTCAACCTGTATTCCGGAACCTTCCCTGACTACTTCGAAGATGACATCGGTTTCGACATTGGTTATGCTATCTTGGCGAAAGCGAGTATGTCAACACGAAAATTTCGCAAAGGATTTGATGTTAGTCTTCCGCTATTTCATAACACACTGCCTGTGCGAGGGGAGGATGCTGGTCGGCTGGCACGAAGCACTCGCTATCCCGAGTTAGCCCGAAGTTATTTAGTATCCTTCAAAGGAAAACGTTATCTGTATGGCATTGGATCCAACAGTCGTAATTCGCTATACCACATCCACAATGGGAAGGATATTATCATTTTGACTACATGCCGCCATGGAAAGCAGTCGAAGGAACTACGAGACGAACGTTGCGATCGAGATGATTCTCTTTACGACCGGTAACGCGGTGACAGCAAGTACAGATAAATGGCGTCCGTAACAAGGGTGCATTTAGTTTTAGAATTTTTCTAGAAGTATTCACGTGGGCACCTTTTTATTATTTTTTGAATCCGTAGTGGACATGGTGCTGCTTAACAGTTAGGTGCCTATAATAAGCATGGGTAGGAAGAGCTGCCTGAACTGTTTCCTGTCTCTGCCGAAACCACCGATTTTTTTAAAAAAATTATGCGGCATAAATCGGTTCTTGATGCGCCATCGTACCGTGGTTTCGATTTCATTCCTATACGTCGCTTTCCTGATACTTGTACCAGTTGTACACACCTTGTCTGTGATTCCACAACGCCTTTGTGCCGGAGCTTATTTATAATATTATGTGTTGTTAAGTTGGTGTAGGAATTATTGGTTGTTGTGATAAATGCATAACTCATTCACGAAGCCTTGTTACAGGTACGATTACCAAACTCTGCTGGATAATACCACTTTTTGCCTTGTCCCTCGGGGTCGGCGACTGGGTTCCTTCCGGTTTTTGGAATCACTGCAAGCCGGTTGTGTTCCTGTAATATTATCAAACGATTGGGAGCTGCCTTTCACCGAAGTGATAGACTGGAATAAAGCAGCGGTCATGGCGGACGAACGACTTCTGACACAAATTCCTAGTCTGCTGAGATCCATCCACTTCGACCGGATACTTATTTACCGCCAACAGACTCAGCTACTTTGGCGACAGTATTTTTCTTCCATTGAAAGAATTGTAGTAACGACTTTGGAAATTGTTCGCAACCGCTTGGCTACCGTGCGGCGCGCGAAAGACTATTGGAATAAGTGGCCGGCAATGGCCATGTCACAATTGACGCATATTGAACTGGATAACTTTCACCGAGGATTCATTCATAATGTGCATAAACCACGGTTGTATACAAAGCAAAATCTAACGATCCTCGTCAACGTAACTAGCAAGCAAAATTTGATGGGACGTTTCGTGCGGCTTTTGAAAGTCATTAACCGTATCGGATTTGTGGATAAGGTCATTGTGTTTAGCCCCTGGAAAGCCACAACACTGAGTACCCTGAACAGCTGGACCTGGTTGCGAACCCCTTTCCGTGTGGAAGACGCACAGCTGAATTTCTCGCAACTACAGCAAGCGTTCAGAAAACAGGTCTCGACGGAAGGAGTTCTTCTCGTGCAGGACGACTGCAGTTTTACCTGGGAAGATTTCGAGTATGGTTTCCACGTCTGGAAGTCTTTTCCCAGCCGTATTGTTGGCTACCGGGCAGCCTCACACTATTGGGACGAGCCAAGCGAATCGTGGAAATATTCGGACAAACTAACTAACGAATATTCGCTGGTCTTCATGAAAGAAGCCTTTTTTCACGTACAGTATTATGGCCTTCTCTGGCATTACAAAGAAAAAGTGGTGCCGAATCTGCCCGATATTTGTTTGGATATTCTGCTAAATTTCCTGGCGGCGAGAATCACAAGAGTGCCGCCTGCGCGATTGACCAGAAAAATGTCGGATGAGGATTCTATAACTTCTGACATGGACAGGTATTGGATAACGGTACGCCAACGGAGTGATTGCATCAATGAATTGGTGCAGTTGTTTGGTTACATGCCTCTTTTACGGTCATCTGTTGTTTATAATCCTGTATTGTATAAAGATAACGTGTCCAGCTACAGGAAAAAATACCGCCAGCTGGAAAACAGTTTGAAAACCGCACCATAGATTTTTTGTTCTCTTTTTCGCTATGATCTCGAAATGTGCATTGTAGTATTAGTTTACTGTGTTGTCATTTAAAAAAGCATTAAAATATGAAAAACCTGGCGAGAAATTCATGTGTTGAGTAGCGGTAGCTAAATGTTTTATTTTTCGCCGTACTTGCCGCCTTTTCACTGCGATTCATTCACAAACCTATAAGAAAAATCTCGTGGTATGACTACTGACTGTAAACTGAAATACATGGTCGAAATCCTGTTGTAAACTCCCATCAAAAAGAATTTTATTCTGTAGTCTGCATTAAAGCAAGGTTCATCGCATTACCTGGTACCTGCTTTTCTTTACACGGACAATAATGAGGAAGCATTTTACGGGCATGCAGCAGTAGCTGTTGTACAGTAATTTGTCTGCTCGTCTCAATTAAGTTCACACAATAGAGAGGTGAAAAGAATTCGTGAACGTAGATAAAAGATGGCTTTTAATTTGGATGCAACGTTACATTCTTATCCTCGGCACAAATCATTATTGTCCTTTCGTGTGTGTCGGATTCAGCAGGGCTAGCAATAAAGTGTGACCACGGGGAGGCGGGGGAGCCGGTCAATTGGCCGAAAGCGACACTTTCACTTCCGCCAAGTAGTGGTGAATGAGGATGGTTAACGTGTCCAGATCAATTTTACCTTAATTATTTACCAGGTTGCCAGGACACGATGACCTGATTCCGATGATAAAAGCGGGCCACGGGCTTAGCTAATGGAACAGCACATTCCCGCCGCTGGATTGTAGGAGACATTTACTACACTCGTGTCTCTCGAGAGTTTATCATGCTTGCAGGAAGTCGGTCAGTTTCACATCCGACACTATATATGGAATCGGTACTCGCGGATCAGTTGTCCTGCGTTCGTTCGTTACGACTTATTTTTGTTAATTCCGTTTGATTCGTATTAAATCGCCCGGCAAAATGAGAAAAATTTTTGTGCAAAAATTAATCTGATAGGTTGTATGCTTTCTACAATGGTATGTAGTTGAAATAAATCAGTACAGTACTTATGTGAACGACTCCTGAATTCGTCATCATTTAATCAGCTTTTATTTACAGAAAATTAATTAGAAATATGTACCAAACAGTGACGGCTGACCATACGGCAGAGTACTGCACTCATATTTTTTGGCGTACAAATAATTCTTATTGTTTTCAGCCGGCTGTCGGCACTGGCAGTGAGAAACAAAAAGTACGACCAGTTACATCTGTAGATATGTTTAAGTACGCATTTCTTCGAAAATTCTCTCTGCATCACATCTGTACAGTAGATCAATCAGCGAATCACTATACATTTTTGTTTCTTCACCTGCCCATCCTGTCGAGAAGGAACTGAAGAGCAATGCTGCATAAACTACAGTTAATTTTGCGCTTATTAACATTTTCTCCGATGCCACCCAACCGTTTAAGCACAATGCCCATAATGACCAGATGTGGCTAATGGCTTGTTCACGGGAAAACTATGTACCGAGTCGCGGAGTAATAAATGCAAAATTTCCCTCGACGGAGCAAGATGAGTGGTACTCGTACTGGCCATGAAGAACATGCTGTTGGTCTGGCGTGACAATAGGCGGAGTGGAGTGGCAGCGCTAATGAATATAATGGCCAGCAGGTATCCCGTCGCTGGCAAGATGATGGGCCAAAAATTTGCAGTCTGCACCACCCTACTTGAAGTAGCGTGTTCCCGAGCATTTTTCTCCCCTTCTCATAATACACTGCACTGCAGTCATACGTAGGCTGGGACTCCGCTGCTTTCTTTGCTTAATCACTTCACATTTTGCGCGTATATGGACGACGAGACCATTGTTGATCTTAGCTAAAGTATTCAGCAAATCATTTCAGACAGAAACGAAATTCAATCATCAGCAGGAACAATTGAGTGTCCCTGCTGGCGTGAGTGACCGCTGGTCAGCACATCTGTGCCTCCTTCCTAATTTGCACTTTTCCCTCTTCTGTGCAAATATCCAACAAGGCTGTTCTGCTAATGTGTCATATTTCGCCTCGTCCCATGTAGTTATCTGTTGTGAAATTGACAAATGGATCTGCGGTCCGTTGTCAGCGCCTCACTTACCTTATGGTTAGCAAGAGCAATAAAACTTAATTACTGCACAGAAAAAAATAGCTACTGAATACAGTAGCTGCAACAAAACTAAACCAAAAGGGACAGGTCCCGTTTTTTTATCGCAAACAACCTTCATGCTTTCAAAACTTTTATCGAAGTTCGCATAAAGCCATCCAAAAATTTTTTGAACTTGAGCTAATAACCGTAAAAATTTAACCTGGCCTGTTTGCGGTTTTATATCAACGGCGATGGTGAACACAAAAAAGCAAATGTGACAAAATTGTTAATATAAAATTATTAGTGCACTGTAGATCAAATCAATCTGCAGCAATATTTTCGCTTTTTGTTATTGACATGTAAGTTAGTAAGAACGAAAGGAAAATTTTAATCGCAGCATTTGAAATACGGTAATAATGCAACATGACGATGTGTATACTTCTAGAGTGACTGCATACTTACTTGTACTTGTTGTATCTGGCATAAAAACATTACTGCTTGTCCAGGGCGAAACGACAGGCTGCAGAACAAAGTTCATGACTCCCTATCGCGAAAATAATTAGGTACTTATGCATAATTTTGATTCAAATGGTCAAATTGAATCTGCTGATTAATGGCCAGTCCACATCAGGGTCTATTCGCAGTCGTTCTAATTCGACAAGAACTCACCATTAGTTCTCGGACAAGTAACTTATTTTATCGATTTTACGCTATTGCATCTCGAAACGTCCAGTGCCAAGCAATCGGGGCCGGAACAAAACCAAACCTTTACATTCAATATTTAGTTTTCCGCGAATATCAGAAGGATTATATTTATATTAGCTTATTATACCACCATTATAAAAAATATGTTCATCTTGTACTAGTACTAGTCATAGAACTAGTAGTATACGTACAGCAAAGATAGTGTCAAGGTGATAGTGTTTAAATAATCCTACTGTGTACAGAAAAATTATTCAGCGGTACGCGAACGCAAGAACAAACAGTAGCTGTTGCACTTTGAGAAATGCATAAAAGGTCACAGCGTTCCGTATAAGGTAAACGCGTCATTCTATAAACGTTTTTTGAAATGAGCAGGGATCGTACATGTAAGTTGCAATTACCAGGAAAATATTCGTTATTGACAAAATTGTTTTAAATTGTATGTTTCGCATTCATCCTGACTTAAACATCTGATTCTTAGGGTTTGAAATGCACCATTGTTCACCATTTCACACGTTTATGCCAGCTAGCCTCACTGCACTCTACCCTGTTTAACTTTCCCAAGCTTCTGTTCTTGGGATATGCAATGGCTCAGATTCCTTTCAAACCGAAGACACAGAGATCGCCAGAGATACGGTAGTAGCCCTTGTTTTCGACATCATTGCAACACGTCCCACACTAATCTCTCTATACCTACATTTATTATTCACTCGTCCTTCTTGTTGAAAATCGATAATTTGCCCGGCTAAACGTTATGTTAATGTTCCGATTGATTGACTCCCTAATTGACAGGACTAGTAAATACACTGCACCCACGGTCATTTTCCATTTCTCTAATAGCTGGCGCATTACTGACCAGAAGCTGGCTAGGTGTGACCGATTAGGCGGCCGGCGACCAATCAGCGATCGTGACGTTCCATATTTTGCACACAAGGCCCGCCCGCCTCATTTTCCGGGATGATTAATATGGTGATGGAGTTATCAGCAGCTTGTTAAATGCACTGGTCAGTCGCGTGGTAGCATTCTTCGGTCTTGTCCGCTCTTTCGTCTTGTGAGTGATCACAATCACGCACGCCCGTAAAACGGCCATTCTCTTCTGACTGCCCCCGACATGTTAACGGAGTCATTTTGTCGCCGCAATTTGACAGATTATGATTAATGTGGGAATAATCGTTTGAAGTTTTTTCTAGTATGCGGTGTTCGTTTCCGTTTTGAATTCATCTTCGATTTGATGCGAATTTGTTATTAAACTCAAGGTGCACTCACCGCATGCCGTATTCTCAGCATACTGCATTCCGGACTTAATCCTAGCGCTTTGTGAGAATAATTTGTCCAACCTGCTTTTCTGCCGGCAGACGAAAATTCGTCGAGGTAAGATTAAGACGCTTTGTTCTCTGTCAGCCAAATCCTTTTTGCTTGCTGTGTTCTTATTTGAAGAAAAGAGTCAGCAAGCTTTATCCATTGCAGTAGAGGAGGAATAATGGTTTTATGCCCGCTATTTTTCTGAATATTACAACATACACATAGTAAGCATTTACTACAGCTAAAATTAAGTCAGTATAGTAGTAACTTGTTTTTATTTTATGTCCACATGATTGACCGATGCTTGCCTGCACAAATACTGATTAAAACCATAAATAGTTGTAAAAAATCTGCATAAACCAACTATTTCATGTATAAACCAACTAAATCAACCATTTCACTATAGGGAAATTACGTAGCCGTGCATAAGTTTAAGGTTATCCACTCTGCTTCAAAACATGTAGTGCGTAAGGAGTAAGTAAGCAGCTTTACAACGATTTGATTATGTTATAATCGGAACAGCTATGCGCGTGCCAGTGTACGGAACCAACGACAAAAAATTTTTGCTCTAACTAACATGAGATTAAGTAAACTTAGTAAAGTAAGTATTAACGTATTAAGTAAACTTCATTAGATTGCAATCTAAGTTTCTGATTTATGGGCGTTTATGCAGAGTATTATCACATGTGTTGCACTAACGATATAGAACTATTACACAAGCAGGTATTTCCAAATTTCCACTATTCGTTCCATTGCACAACAGTTGCTGATGTTGTTCTCATATGATATTATTCAGTCCCCAGTTTCAATTTCACAAAAGCCAATAATTTAATACTCTGATCTATTTCAGCCAACTCAATAGGCAGAAGAACCATTGCGTACTTGTTGTATCTTGTTGTAAGATAATTTAGATGTTCAAATTTTAGGTAGATAATTGATCACCTGAAACCTGCTGGCTATTTATTTAAGTATCGAAAATTTGCGTTTTTAAATATTAGCATTAGAGTAATTATTTAACAGTATCCGAGAAACCGGTCATTTTCGCAAGTGAAAATCATGCAAAAATAAGTGTGTTTTTCTTGTTAGCTCATTAATCTAATGGCCTGAATGTTTTCCACTGAAATCTGGATATAACTGAAATCTTGCGTTATTTGCCAGCCTTACTTTTAGATAGCAGCAACATGTACGCGCCGAAGCAGAAGTATTTGTTACTCGAACGATCGCAGTTGATTGTTCTGAAACACAGTCTGGATCATCCAGGATTGCGTTGTGAGACAGTGAGAGCGCATAACGGAATTGTGTATATTTGGTTAAGCTGAGGAAATTGAGTCCAGATGAACTGGCCTGTCCGTGCGAGAGCAAATTGAATTTCGCTCTACCGAAGGGAAATGGTCGCTGCACCATCCCTTCAACGGCTTCCATTAAGCCCTGCAGTTCGATATACAGATATCCGCCGAATAGCCTTTGTCCCAACACTGACACCGCATACTATAGTGGCGTGTAATTCAAATCGTTTCTGCTTTTTGTTGTTAGGTTTACCCAGCTTAAAATGGCTGTTCTTTTGCCGGTTGGCGTTTGGCTATTGACTGTAATTCTGGTGGAAATGGATGGTGTTAATGGGAGTTTGCAGCCGGAAACTGTACGCTGCGAATTGTTAAAGATTCCGTTGTGCCGGTCACACGTGCCGTACAATTACACCATGATGCCCAATCGATTCCATCATGAAACACAAGACGAAGCCGGCCTAGAAGTTCATCAATTCATACCGCTAGTGCACACAAAGTGCAGTCCGGAACTGGCCAAGTTCCTCTGCAGCATGTATGCGCCCATCTGCATGGAGAATTTCCACCGGCCTATTCCCGTTTGCCGATCCGTGTGTCTGCGTACCAGGGCGGCCTGTGAGCCGGTTATGGCACAGTATGGTTTCGAGTGGCCCGAGAGGATGCAGTGCGAACAGTTCCCCGAGTATAAAGAAGACGGTGATCCGGAAAATCTGTGCATGGACTGGCTCAACGGCTCCGTGCCGGATCAGCCGGAAGCGCGACCAGTGCCACCGCCCCGGAGCGGCGGCAGCACCAAGAGTACCAAAACTCCCATTTCTTCGTCATTTCCGCCGCCTGTTGTTGCAACCTGCCCTCCCTGCAGTTGTCCTAAGGATTTATCCGTGCCAGCGATTGATGGCACCAGTTTTGCGGGATTAGCCGGCTGTGCAAGTCCCTGCCGGAGTCCATTTCCCAGCCGCAATGAGTGGATGATTATCGAATATTGGATTGGTGGATGGTCTGTGTTGTGCTTTGCCTTGACCTTTTTGTCCGTTCTTACATTCCTGCTTGACCGAAAGAGATTTTTGTATCCGGAGAGGCCTGTCGTCCTTATTACCGGGTGTTACCTGATGGTGTCACTGGGCTTCGTATTACGACTGTATTTTGGGCATTCCGATGTTTCGTGCAGCGGAGGAGCTTCCAGGCACGGTGATATTAGCAGTTGGAAATGCACCGTGATTTTTGTCCTTCTTTACTTTTTTGGGATGGCCAGCTGCATATGGTAAGCTATGCTGTAAATCTGTTGTCCACAGACATGAGCACATCCAAAATTAATAATGAATACATTGAATGAGATCAATAATAAAAACTGGGGATTTCAAATTCACGGTGGCTTGTTAGATAACTTAGATGCTCGCCGGCGACGCCAGCTGCAAAATCGTAATGTCCAAATATATATGATGTGCAAAACATTGCGATCACCTTAGAATTTTTGAAGACGGCTCAGATAGTAATTTTTTATAAAATAGGAACACAATAATTGTTTAAATAAATAAATATTGCTGCTTTTGCACGGAACTGGTAAAGTTTGTAAAACTTGAATGTATTAATCGTCTTGATCACTTGTGCCGGAACTGCTTTCTATGACTGCATATTTCTAGTTTTAATTGGACATAATTTGTAGGTGGGTGATTCTGTCTTTTACGTGGTACTTATCGACTGGCCGGAAGTGGACGACGGAAGCGCTGGCTGCGCACTGGAAATGGTTCCACTTAGCAGCGTGGGGACTGCCACTGGGCTTTACCGCTGTCGTCCTGGGAACACATTCCGTCGACGGCGATCCGGTAGCCGGGGTGTGCTATGTCGGCATGCATGACCCCAATGACCTCTTGGTCTTCGTGACGGCACCGCTGGCTGTTTACTTAGTGATCGGAGCCGGTTTCATACTGCTGGGAATGTGCTCTTTGTGGGGCGCGCACTCGCAGAAGGGTCGACTGATTTCCCTGTCCGACAAGGAGGAACACCAGCGCTTCCACCACCAGATGAACCGGATTGGGGCCTTCGCCATTTGTACGTTCGTCCATTTTGCCACTTTCCTTGGCTGCACAATATATGAAATGCTGTATCGAGAAGACTGGGAACGGACGACACTGTGCAATTGTAAAGGAAGTGGAAGCCAGCCGAATGTTTCAGTATTATATATCATCAAATATTTAGCGATGTTGGTTGTGGGTGTTATTTCTGTGGGTTGGTTTCTGAATTTAAAGACGGTAAAGTCTTGGGGTTTTGTATGTTGTGGATCCCGCGCAAAAGCCCAGCAAGTAATTGCGAAGGCTGATGAGTATACTTTGACCAAATCAACGGATCCATTCCTGCGACTGCAGTGTAAATACTCGTTAAACGCGGTATAGCTCCGTGGCAGTTCGCGCTGTGTCTGATGGATCTCAATTTTGAAATTCTCCGTTCAGAAAGCCATACAAAGTGGTCAATGTTCTTTGTTTTGTTGTGATACATACTGTACGACGATTGTTGAACGCGTACATTATTATGTGTTATATGTTATGTTAATATAAATAAAGTTGAGTATTTGTATGGTGTTTTCATAATGGCACCGAAAACGAAAGCCGACGCTTAGTTAGACGACAATTTGGACGCTCAAGACGGTACTTTTGTTATCGCATATCGTCACAAGGAAAGCAATAAGCATTTCAGTATTCCGCAAATCTGAAGTCAGTAATCCTGCTTCGCAGGTTGCAAAACTGAACTTCATCACAGTGTCAAAAATAAATAACAATACGCCAAGTAATTTGCCATTCATATTTTAAACCCCTAAGACTTAAGCAAAACACTGCATTTCACTGATGACTAACTTATATAGGCATTTGGACGCCGAATTTTAAGTAATGCTTATCGTCAGTTATAACAGGGCTAAATTACGTAAAAAACATCGAAAGGATAGCATTGGTTTGTTATTTAAAAGCGCTAATAATTTAATACAATACTGTATGTTGATAGTTCTGGTACCAGTAATCTAAAGTGGGATAACGAGACAGTTGAACCTAAATAGGTTTTTCTGTATGTCTTCGCCAAACTTTTTCTACCGGATAGACAAAAGAATTTAAACCATTGACAATTAGTGGCATTAATCAAGCGGTCATCAAACTGACCTACCAAAAACTGAAATATTTCGCAATACGCCACGTCATCATGCAGGCATTCTATAAAAAATGCAGGCGGTTCGATCGATAACGCCGACACGATCTACGTATCGGTCATTCAAGCACACATAAAATATTGCAGTCAACAAAATAACTATGATATTTCATATATATATATATATATATATATATACGTCACTGTACGTATATCGACTACAAAAATATTCAAGCAGACATTAGAATTATTTTATATACACATTAACTTAAATTGTCTTGAAATGCTTAATATGAAATTAGAATGGAAGAAGCAGGCAGCTTTGAACTTTATTGCCATTGGCTTGGCTTGGAATTTCCATTGGCTTCTCGATTATGTCGGTCCGCCGCTTGTGCACGACATTGCTTTTCTACATTCAGTGATGGCCAAAATAAAACTGTTCGGATTGCGAACTGCTCCCATCTGCATAGAAAGGCTGATCTGGTTGGAGGATGATGTATGGTAGCAGCGCAAGTAGAACGTCGCTTGGTCAGGCAGGGAATTGGGAATAGGTCGCTTACACTCGCCGGGCTGCGTTTGGATTTGAAGCTGGAGTCGGGCGGCTAGCAAGGAGTAAATGGCTTGCGCAGGTCCTTCCACAGAACGTCCGGCCAGCTTATGTTCAATTTGCTAGCGATTCGAGGTTGCCACACGGAAATCGCTACCGGGTCAGTTTGAGTATTGAAAAACACGTCAGCGTCCACCTGGCGAGAATAAAGCATGTGCACAAGATTCTAATTATCACCTATCTGTACGGTATTTCAAGGTTTACAACTACAGTATTGTATAAAGCTTCGCGCATACACAATACTATAATTATGTCCAATACTGCAACGCAGTTTACCGCCATTACCTCTCAGTCGGATATATAACTGAAAATTTTTTGCGAACTCAAACTTTGTTTAAGGCTGAAAATTTTACATATAGTAACAAACACGGAGCCACGACCTTTCGGTACAACCTTGTCGCACAAAGGTTTGCGAGCCGCGTTGCTGCAACCGTCCCGTGCTACTAAAGCCATGTTTTTCAACTAATTATAGTGTGGAAATGTAGTGTGGAAGTGCAGGATATCGCGAATGGTAATTATATTTGTGGAAGCAATCGTAGCACAGGTAAAGGTCACAAAACTGTGGCTGGGGTATCGATAACCTAAACATTATCACTGTAAATAATTCTAAAACGCAAAGAGCTGCGCTACGCGGACTGTTAATACACCATTCGATGCATTTTCCTAATGACGTACGAACGTACGAATTCATGGTAATTTTTCCGTACGAACCAAAAAACCTCTCTGGTTAATATGATTATGAAAGTATATACCGTATCATGAATTATGAAAGTATAATATACCGTATTATGAAAGTATATACCGTATCATCCGCATTTAGTAGCTATTAGCAGTTTTCATGCGCTCTGTTTGTGAATTTTTAAAACGCAACAGGCTTTGCGCCAAGTACCGAAGTAGCAGCTAAATCGAATACAAAGATGGCAAGCGTTCGAAACCTTCATTTTCAGTTTGTTTTTAGTTTCTACCTGCCATATTCCACCATAATATCCAGTGCGGAATGTTTTCGGGTCACCACCGTCCCTCGTTTCAATCCAAGCAACACGTCTCATGAATTCGTGGTCATCGTTAAATATCCGGGCTCGGCTCAATCTGCCAATAGCGGATTCAATGGCATATTTACCCGTACTTTCCATAGTAAGATCTGACTGTCCACCAACGAGCCAAAACAAAGAAGAAACTGTTGCTAAAAGCACCCCTGCGGTTACCCATCTTTGGCGGTAAAACATGATTATTTCTGTTTTCGTAAACTACAGAATATTTGCTGTAAAGGTCAACAGGTGGCAATACGACAGCAGTGCGTGCCATGCGACGGGGAAAACATTACGTAGTTGTATGCAGTGCATATAAGGCTGTATCAAGCGAACGCCTAAAGGGATCCGAACACTGAAACAAGTTTAGCACAATGCGGCGTTTGGTCTGCAACACAGGTTCCATAAAAACAAAGCGTGAGAACTTTTCCGGAAGCATGCGTAACAAATGGTGCCATGCAATAATGTGTCTGTTTTGTATCTCATCCTCGTAAAACTGTTTAGTTACGTCCTTAATCGCAACCGATCACAGTGGCAAATCCTAAAACTTATGTTTGCACGGTTTGTTTTATATATGTTGTGATTCCCGTGGACTCTGCGTTTTTTTATATGTTGCATAGTGCATACTTAGTCTTCTAGCCTAATTGTTTATGAGTTTTTTACCATAAGGTCATTCGCTAACGGAACAAATTGACTTCAGCAGGTATCATTTTCGCGTTTCTATAATCAGTTTTACTTTCAAAGCAGCAGGCGTGCTATTATTCATTAACCTAAAAAGCAACACCATTCAAAGTCTCGTGCAAGGCTTTTCGTTAACAAATGTAAGTAGGAAGTCACTTTAGAGGAGCATTGTACACCAAGGTCGTGATGTAGCAAGTTTTTTGCGAGAAATACAATACGTATCTACAACTCGTACTCCAAATTACTCATGGAATGTGCTTAATGTAACGTAATGATTGTCTGAACGGCTGTTTTTCGTGTAGATGCGAAATCATTATTGACACACTCACACGGAAGTATGGTAATTTCGCTTTCACACGACACAGATTAATCCCTTCGATACTCTGCATATTATATAAAAGTATTGTACGTCGCGCGAAACAGTTATTTTTATTTAGCAACGTAAATGTCGCAGCAACGTAAATACTTCAGTAATTATGACGAAAAAAATCGTTGGACCAATAAACTGGCAAGCAATCTTGAACAAAATAGGGCTGTAGTTATCCATGTTTCAATATATTTCGTGGTACTGGAAAGGCTCTGCACGATTAATTGATAATCTTGCATTTTGACTAGTACTAGATTTAATGACTATTTAAAATTAAATCGTTCTCGCATGCTCATATATTACCCGTATTTTTTATATTCTGAAAGTAACAGAAAAAATATAAGCAATTAGGCGAATTAGCAGGGATACGAAGTAATAAGAAAATTTCTTGGGTGCCGCATTGCATCCATCGGCATTATCACAGTTACAAATAGTTCCTTCGAAGAACTCTTTGCTTTTATCCTTGCCCAGCTTCACATCCACGCACTCATGATCCAGGGTCCTAATAGGCGCTTCTTTGAATTTTGTTAAATGCCCACATCCATACCGTTTTGCACCGTACACTGAAAAATTGAATATTCTCTATTAGGCATTTATTTTAATTAACGCATTGCGCCGAGTTTATATGTAACAGGTAAATAAATCCTTGCCGCTGTTAATATGGGTCGCAAATTTTGAGCAGCCATGAACAAAAATTGTATTGGCCATACTACAGTAATTTTATATTGCATTAATGTCACTGCATAAGTGCATATTACGTACTAAATTGCAGTTTCATTGCTTTCTTGGGCAGAAACGGACTAATTTGACAAGCCAAATTTTGCAGATTATATCAATAAGAGTCGGTTTCACACACATAGCCATACAAGAGATATATACAGTAATTACACCCGACTACAGTAAGACTAAATGTAATTGCATTGTATTTTTAATGGCACACTGACCTTTCCCGTGCCCATAAGCGACGTCCCCTTTAATTTTGTAGCACGAAAACGGCTTATCGGGATCTAGTGATACTTCCAGCGGTGTGGGATTCTTGGAATGCCGGGTGTCCGTTGGAGGTATATAGCAGTCGTACGGTGTGGCTAAATTGGGCTTGAAATCCCGGCAGTAGTTGTTGTAATCCGTTGGGTCACACTTGTAACACCGCAGTCCCTCCCGTCCAGATGGGCCTTCTTCCTCCGAACTACGGATATATACATGCAAATGTTAGAATTGTATCAGCATAAAAGCGACAACAAAACAAGCACATGTGTTATTTTGCACACTGTTTGGTGTACCACTGTACGGGTTTTCAACGTTAACGAGCCATCACGATGATTTTCAAACGGAAAAGAATCAAACAAGGAACACGTGCTCAACGTGGCAAACAAGTGGCACTTCACTTCCAGACAGCTTGCTGCAGCAATACGGATAATTCGTATCGCAAGTACTCAATAGATTTGCAGTGAAAAGCAAAACAATAATCATATGTTACGATTATAATTACCACGGACAGTCACATAATGTGCAGAATGTACCAACAGTTACTTAATGTTGCCCATTAACAGTTGCAAAGTATTGTTATATGTAGTACTATATACTAGGCTGCCTATTGACTCGCGCAAAAAAGAGAAACACTTAACAATCAATAATATTTTACTTTCAACAGTATAAAATTTATAGTTTTCCAAAAGTACAATGAAGCGTATAAGCTCATTTGGGCAATATTTCGTTTCAGTTACCTGGAATCGTGTGCACCATGCTTGGGTTTGGGCGGTTTCGGGTGCTTATCAGCAAAAGCATAAGTAGGAAAGAGAAGTACCATCAAAAGGACATTAATGTATACGGCATGCCAGTGGCCAGTTCCCATGATTCCATCCCTTCCAGTACAAAAATAATATGGGCAATCCACTGAAAAATGCATATAAGGTCAGCATGCGAAACGACCTGGGTCGTTGGTCAACGCTGCCATAATCCGTGCAGGTCAGTTGATATTGCAGGGATTAGAGTATAACAAAGTGGTGTACAGGTTGTTTTAATTATTTTCTTCAAGAAACAACCAAGTCAAGTGAGACCAACCCGGAGCCGATAGGTAAGAAACTTGGTATATGCAGCAAACAGCTAATTCAAGTATTACATATTTTTACCCAGTCAGCCAAAAGTAATCCGCTTACTGGCAGCGCTAAGCAGCTGGTTACATTGGAGTTGGTTTTAAAGATGTCAACAGTTGCTTTTGGAGAGTCCTTGGCCAGCCATTTCAAGACTAAGCTCTTTGCACACTCTCTCACGATACGTTGTATTGTATATGTGGTATGTGTACGGAAACGCTAACAGACGCTGCTCGAACAATGCCTCGTGCACAAAGAAATATGCCTTTTCCTTTTTACGCTTTTCAACATCCAGCCACACTTTGCAAGCCAGCGTTATGATAAAACCGCGCCAACAATTAAAAATCGCTTAATCTATGGGTCCTGTAAATAGATAAACAGAAGCGTGGTTCGCTTGCATGAAAACCGAAATCCGAAATTCTAAGCCATTGTTTACATTTATGTATCCAGTTTGACTGCAAATATTTGCACTCCTTTACAACGCTTACAAATCAACATCGTGTCCTAACACTCGCGGTTCCACGCCGCCAATGTAGTAGGAACACTCTTTTTCTCTTCGCCAGCGCAAAAAAAACTTCTGTACAGTCATTGCAGTAAAACATGTATCGGATTAAGGGTAGTGCAAAAGAATGGCGATACACTACATTTCGAAGGTCACATGGACAGGCCCCGGTTCTACGGCAAGCAATTTTTTGACGTGCTTTAGACATCATCGGAGCATAAAACGCCGTCTTTAGAACGGCATGTTTCAGTATACTTATGGAGCCCCTTTTTATGTACATTTTCACGTCTAAAATACATGGTCTACGGAACTATAATATGGCTTTTTGAAATTCGAAAAATAACCATCCAAAAGACATCTTTTGGATGAAGAAGACATGGGCGCTTTTTTCTCGAATAGAACCGGGTAGGTTAATTCTCACCGATAAGCTGCTTAACCACACAAAGTGTACAGGAAGGTGCAGATGCAGATCTATACAGCACTTCTATAAAAAAAACTGTTGTGACCAAAACTGGAGAACATCCATACGGCTATTCTAACAACTTGAAATATGTACGTTATTAAACTTACTCTAGATCTTTGGTTCACTTTTGGTTGGTAAACATATATTTTAACCATCGGCTGATTATAATATTATGGCGATCGTAAAATGATTAATGTAAATCAGTGATGTCCTTCCCTAAAATTTCTTGACTGATGGCGACTGAGATAATGACTAACTCTCTGGACTAACCTATACTGGGTATGTGGATCTGCTATCAGATCTCCAGCAGTATAAGTACTCGTAATTAAGGCACTGTTCATGCAAACTCTGGTTATGCTCGCAACAGCACGAGCCGACTTGGCGTTATGGTTAAAATGTTCAGTTCGCACATATTCCGACCCGCGAACCGTCACCTTTCGAAGGTGTTCGCGACACAGGCTGAACCAAGCCACTCGCTTTGAGGTGACCTTGCGTGACTGCTTTACTATCTGCGTTTACATAATATTGTTTTGTACTCGTGCAAACCCCCACGTAGCTGTAACATACAGAGTGGCTTTCGTGTATTTTGTCGGCCACGAATCTGAATTAAGCGATGGAAGTACTGATCTCTGGACAATCGATCTCTTCTATCTCCTACAGTATGTAGTGGTTGGGTATTTTCGGCCCGGTTGCAAACAAACTGTTGCATTTCATGGGCCGAAAAATTCGTCAAGTGACGAGAAGCGCGCTTCACTGCTGAAGCGCGTTTTTTTAAGCAACGTTTCATTTTGGCTGTTATTAGGGAAACGCTGCGGCTTTATATTACCTTTAACGTACGGGAAGATAGAGATTTTAGTTGTTCTTTAATGTTTAAATTTTAATTATGAAGTAGTGCGCTCGTGTCTGCAATTTTTTTTCTTAATCTGAATTTGGTTAGATGGATAGATGATGGGTTTGAAATGCAAACAACAAGTAGACTGGTCAACGCTTAAGTTAGTTAGCCCTGCATAGCGTGTTCGCGACAAAAATATCCAACCAGGAATTTCGATGAACTATTTAATCCAAGTTCCGTAACAAAATACAGATGCGATGGTAATCCTAAATCCTAATAGATCAACTGTATATTTTGTAACCACGAAATGCTATCCAATACCGGCCTTAAAAAATCATAGAAAATCAAATACAATTAAACCTTGCGGTGCACAAAATGCAGCGGTCAACAAAAATCGATTTCCGGTGACAACTAACAGTATTTGACCAATAAGATTATACTTGCATGCAACCAGGATGAAATTATTAAATCTTCATTATTATGAAAACAAAAATGAATATAAATGCATTATGTTGAATTCGACAAGAAGCAGCACAAAGACAAACTAACTCTTTTGAGTATTTCGCAAGCTAAAGGTCAGGATAGAAGAAACAAAAGGAAATTAAACGGGGTTGCTTTGACACCGTATGAGAGAGAAGGATGCCAATGTGGATACAAACTGCAGCTTCTAATTTAGGCACAATGGATCAGGAAGGGACTGCCGGGTATGTGATCATCGCCGTATTTAACAATCAAAAGGTATTCTCCACGTTCACGCAGCATATAACTGACTTGATAGGAATCATGACCGACGTGCTTAACATGTACTTCCTCTGCTGGTTTCTCTTTACCATAAACACCAACCAGCAAAACGTTATGACCTGAAAAACAATGAACAGTCAATGTAAATGGGTTTACGAAAACAACTTTACAAAACTATGATATTCGCAGTGGTTCTAGTACATACCAGCAGTTTCGGCTTTTACATTGAATGTATTCTGCTTATTCTGATAGGCCTTCTCCAGACCAGGCCCCTTGGCGGTGACCTTAGAGGCATCGGAGCGTCCATGTAAGCCGCTACTCAAACTCTGCACTTTAGTGGCAGTTTCCGATTTTGTCACTGTTTCGACGACGACGGAGTTTGTCTGCTTGAACTGACTGGGTTGTTGTTGAACAACGCTTCCAGCACGCCCTTTTCCTGTAACAAATCACTGATCAATAACTGTTCTGATAACTGCGTAAATTTTCTTTTTTTTAAAAAAATATAACCGTACCCATCCGTCAAATCCCGTTTGTAAATTACGTTTTCGATGCGAAGCATAAGGTACGCACAGCAAAATTCTGCACAAAATAAAATTAATTATATATATGTACCGGAAGCTGTGACACGGAAAGGACTGCCGGCAATGTGAGCGTTGTTGTATTTGACGGCGATAAAGTAATCTCCTGGCGCTAATGGGTATAACGGATTTTGTATCCTTCGTCCACTTCCGAACAATCCATACTAACTTTGCTTGGTCCATCAATAGTGACCTAAATAATAAACGTAAATACCTAGACATCCTCTATATCGTGTAAATAATAACAGTCGCACTTTAACAGTCGCACTTACAGCCAGAGTTCCAGCACCAGCTTTTGACGTGTTGACAACGAATTCTGCTTTTTCTCCAGTTTGTACACTTTCCAATCCCTTTCCGTACGCAATAGCAGAGCGGGATCTGCCTCTTCTTTACCGACACGCACTCGGAACGGCGATCCTCGAATTTGAGCACCATTGTATTTGACATGGACAAAGTAAACACCCGCTTCGTATGGCATAAATCGAACGGCATAAACGCCTGTGACGCAAAGAAAACAAGTATTAGATCAATATCCAGTAATCCACTCATGGCCGCGCTGTCCGTCTCTTACCGTCATCGACTGGAGTAATGACACAGTCTTCCTCTTTACCATTGGGATTTACCACGGAGGCGGTCAGTTTGCCTTTAACACCGTGCATGTTGACGGTAAAGGCCACGGGTTTTTGTGGCTGGAGGTTTTGTTGCATGGAACCGACTTCAATCCGCTTAGCTTCTCACCGAAGGGCAACGTGCACCTTATAGGGACTGTCCGGTATGTGGACATCATTGTATTTTATGGCGATAGCATATTCACCTGTCAGAAATCAAGCAAGCTGTCTAAACAAATGTGCAAATAAAACCAACCATCACCAGAAAACTAATACGTCACATTGTTTATCACATATCTACGTAATCCTCACTGCATTTAACCTGCTCAAAATTATTTTGGTGAATTAGAAACCCGATTCATTGATTCCACAGGTATTCTTACTGTATTCATTCTTCCGCTTTAATTATGTAGCAGCCATACCAAAACTGGCCTGATACCAATTTATCGTACAATATTTTTCATAATTATTTTAACAATATTTTCTATACCTGGTTGGTCGACTTTGTAGGAAACATAGCATGATCCGTCCTTATGGTCTTTAAAGTTGATAGCCGCTTTAGAAGGGCCTTCCACGGCAATGCTAAGATTGCCCGCTCCGGCTTCGCGCGTCCACACATTGAAATCATTTTGTTCCCCACTTCACCACGTTCCAGACCCGGTCCACCACGCACCCTGTGCGGCCCACCATCCTTCAGTGGCCCCACCGTAAACTGGAAGGGCGATCCGGGAATATGCATGCTCTTGTGCTTCACACTGATGGTATGCACTCCCATCTCGGTAGGGACAAAGCGGACTTTGTACGTCGAATCATTTAAATCAACCAACTCGGCATCTTCCGTCTTTCCACTCGGGCTGGTCACCTGCGCTTTCATATCAAAAGGATCCGATCCTGGAAATCGGATATGATGTGTTTCAGAATATTCGCGCATTTTTTAGTTACTCAAAAAACGATCGGGAGCTCAATCATACCAGGCAGTTTGAGCTGCAGTTCACAATTAGCGCCAACATGCGAGGTCTGGATGGTCTGCGCCGTATGGGTGATCTTCTCCATCTGGATGCGCGCTCCTTCTCCCGTCACTTTGACGGGGAACGGGCTTCCTGTCAGCACAAGAGGAGTCGCATTAATCAATCAATAAGCAGGCAAAAATCGATTTCAAAGCTAGCCTTAACCAAATAATACTCGTTAGCGCTACGGATTATGAGTCCATATACCACCACCGAATAATATCCAGTTTCTTTAACTCAAAGGATTTCCCAACAATACGTTCGGATATCAACAGCCAAATCATTTCCAGACGTACGCACCTGGTATGTTTTGATCGGCAAAACGGACATTCAGGGTGTAGTT